AGATGTAACGCTTTGAAGCTTTGTAATGTATGAAAATGTATGAAAAACCAGGCTAAAAATCTTTGTTGCAGTCGAAAGGGGTAAGTAATATTTATTTTTTGATTCATTGCTTCTTACATTTTTTCTCTACACCCTAATTGCAATTTTGATTGTCTACGCATGAAAAATAATTTTAAAATGTTTAACATCCTTCGTTCGATTGAATTGTTGATATTTAGATTATAATCATTTTCAAGGGTTAACCAAATATCACATTTCAAATAAGGCATGCAAAACTCTAGTAATATTTATCACAAAGAGAAACACTGTATTAGATCAAATATAATTTAATGCTAAAAAATTTTATTGTACATAATAACCTAATACCACAGATCTAATGCTTCATAGGCACTGAATTCATCTAACAATCGTAAGCTAACGTCATCATGTGGGTCTCATACCTAATTGTGGTTGATCAATTCTGTTAAGGCAGCCACTCAGCTTGCCCTTCCTTCCAGGCCTTCTCTACGGAGTAGAAAAGGTGAACGATCATCGATGACTGGATTCCCGAGCAAGTCGGGAGTCCGAGTCGTCCTCACGCTCAGGAAGGAGGGCTACACCTCCTCATCGTGGTTGCATCGACTCCTACTTTGGGTAGAGAGTCTGTGAAGATATACTACAGAAATGATCCTGTGAAGTATGATCTTAACATTACCGACCCATACGCTACCTTTTATAAGCGTAGAAAGTTAAATCACTATCGGGTAAGCCGTTTCTGGCAACTTAACCATCTACTGGATGAGTCGAGGTACTACGCTCAAGAGTGAGAGAGATAAACCGTGCATGACTCAACTTTGTGCAGCGCCTAAATTGAAATGCGTATGGAGTGTATATTATATGTACGCAAGTTAAATATGCATCTATATTTTTTTCATTAAAATTTTAAAACGTTCACATTCTACGAGATTTACTTTGTAAAATTTATTTTTTTCATTAAAATTTTAAAACGTTCACATTCTACGAGACTTACTTTTATTGTAAAATTCAAATAAAGTAAGTCGGGAAGCGTTACATTTGAAGTTGGCAAAAAACAAATTGTTCATCTTAGGACTTGAAAAATTAACAACTGTTTTTTTTTGAGGCTACTATCCTGATTTCAACCAAGTGTACTTCTGTACGTTACACAAATACAAGAGAAAAAAGTCCATTTTTTGGGAAGAGATACAATAAAATAAATAAAACTATCCTAATAGTTGAGGAAAAATTACGTAGGAATTAATGTAGGAGTCAGCAGGGCTCCCGTGGAGTCTTATGAATTAAAATTGTCCACCAAGATTTTTCTCATGTATTTTTATTAGTTGAACACGATTATCGAAGTCAGATTTCCATAACATTTACACATCAATAATTATTAACAATTTTTATTGACAAATTTAAGAATTTTGGTAAAACAAAAATTTATTTATATTCTTTGGCTCATTTCAAGCAATAAAGGTCTTATGCAACTTTTGACTATGTGATATACTTTTTCAGTAAAAAATTCGCAAACTTTTGAAAGACTGGAATTTTGTGATTTATCTCCGTTAATATCTTCATTGTAGAAACTATTTTTTTCAACTCTTCAGGGCGTAATTTTTTTTCTTTACCATTGCACTTAAGAAGTCTATCACTTTTATAATTGTAAAAAAATATTTCTTCAAGTATTGAATTGTGCATGAGCTTACTGCTGTATGTTACCCATCATGGTCTGTGTACGTACATACTTATACATATAGAAATAATACTAATAATAATAGTACATACAGTATAGAAAGAATAAAAAAAAATGTCGCTTGAAAAATGCACCAACAAGCATAACAAAGTAATAATAAATATAAGATTTTTATAGTAAAAAAAGTAAAATAGCAAAAAGATTTATATGAAAGTATGTTCTTCAAAACTCATCTCAAAAAGTGCCTAGTCATATCTTTCGTTGAAAGTGTGATAAGTACTTATAAATGAATTTCAAATGTATATTTAATTATACACGTGTATTTTCATCCTTTTTCCGATTCAGTAAATTCCGTAGAACACAGATCCAAGTTCTAAATAGGGTCCATAATAAGGAGGACCAAAAATCGGTGGAATTGGGGTATATACATCCCAATTGATTTTTTATTCGAAATTTGGACTTAGGTTCGGACCCTGTTTAGAACTTGGATCTCTATTCTATGGAATTTACTGAATCGGAAAAAGTCCTGAGATGAACAATTTGTTTTTTGCCAACTTCAAATGTAACGCTTCCCGACTTTTTTTATTTGAATTTTACAATTAAAGTAAGGGTGAGATTACATGGGGTCTGGCAGTCTGCAGACTGGCAGAATCGCGCTAAGTTTAAAATATATTTCAATATTAATATTCAAAACCTGTTACGTAAGTAAAGAAATAATTATCGTAATACATTTGCATTTCTGTATTAACTAATATTTATGAAAAAAAAGGCGACGAAAAACGTTTTGTCACAGTTACACGTTATTATACATACCAGGTTACATCAGTGACCCTACTGACCGACTGTGCGATGTTAACATTAATCTAGAAAAAAAGTTATAAAATAATATTTGACGCGTTGTATTGTAAATTAAATTGATTGTAACTAAGCCTTTATTCTGTTATGACAATAATTACAATTTTTTCTTTATTTTACTAAATTATTCTGAGATGTTATAATTTAAACATAATTTAAACTTAGCGCGATTCTGCCAGTCTGCAGACTGCCAGACTCCATGTAATCTCACCCTAAGTCTCGTAGAATGTGAACGTTTTCAAATTTTAATGAAAAAATATAGATGCATATTTAACTTGCGTACATATAATATACACTCCATACGCATTTCAATTTAGGCGCTGCACAAAGTTGAGTCATGCACGGTTTATCTCTCTCACTCTTGAGCGTAGTACCTCGACTCATCCAGTAGATGGTTAAGTTGCCAGAAACGGCTTACCCGATAGTGATTTAACTTTCTACGCTTATAAAAGGTAGCGTATGGGTCGGTAATGTTAAGATCATACTTCACAGGATCATTTCTGTAGTATATCTTCACAGACTCTCTACCCAAAGTAGGAGTCGATGCAACCACGATGAGGAGGTGTAGCCCTCCTTCCTGAGCGTGAGGACGACTCGGACTCCCGACTTGCTCGGGAATCCAGTCATCGATGATCGTTCACCTTTTCTACTCCGTAGAGAGGGCCTGGAAGGAAGGGCAAGCTGAGTGGCTGCCTTAACAGAAATGACCAATCATAATCCACGTTACCAACTAGAATATTAAGATTCATTTAAATACTTTTATCCTATTGTTTTCACTAGGAAGTAGGAATGGCTATGGTTTTTTAGGAAGGTTTCATTTTTGTAAGGATATACTATTGTAAAAAAAACAAAATAAAAAGGTTAGTGTTTAAAAGGCATATTACTTTTGTAAATGAATCATGACGTCATTTTGTAAGCTGGAGCCAATCAGTTGCATGTGTGTCTGATGTATGGTGGCATATGGGAGTAAAAAAGTGGAAACAGCAAAAAATGTTACCACGACCTACGTAACTTAACTGCTGGTAGCATTTGCGGAATACATCAGCCGAAAACGATGTAGGCTGTACTAAAGTAGATAAAATAGAAATCGTCTGCTTTGCAACTTGTGTGCGCGCTTTCGAGTTTCGTGCTTTCGTACAGTGGAGGCCATGGACATATAAAAAGTATACTTACTGCTCGTTCTCCACCACGACTTACGTAACTTTACAGCCTCTGATTTTATCATTCTGGTAAAGAGAGCACGGTGTAAGATGTACGTGAAGTTATGTGTAGTAATTAAAGTAATTACTACTAAGTAATGCCATATGGTCGATTTTATTAGACCATCTATGAATATCTATATTTTTGGTCGACTTTTGGGTAAAAAATAGATTGTAAACTTGCCGCAAACAGCCTAGACAATGTCAATTTTTTATTATCTAATTATAAGATTAGTTGCGGCTGGTTTGTAATTGATTAAATGGCTCTAATAATATATGAAGCAGTAACAATTATTTGGATCAGCGCCATCTAGCGTTGCGAATTTCTGAACTAAAAAGTGGCCCTAAACTTTTGAACCAGAGCTTTAGCGTGTAAAGCCATTTAGTCAGTTATAAACCAGCCGCAACTCATGATGAAGCTGTAGAATTAAAAAATAACAATACATGTGTTTTTGGCGGCATGCTAACAATCTATTTTCTACCAAAAAATCGACCTCCTATGTGTTTATACTTTTGAAGATAAATTTTCAAGCATGAGATAAATTGTTAACTTGCCGCCAAAAACACACGTATTGTTATTTTTTTATTTTATAGCTTCGTCATGAGTTGCGGCTGGTTTATAATTGACTAAATGGCTCTAATCCTGAATGCTCTGATTTAGAATTTTGGGAGCCACTTTTGGCCAAAAAATAAAGACCGCTAGATGGCGCTGATCCAAAATAATTATTGCAGCTATTGCTACTTACAGTAAAGTCTTTTTATTAGTTATAAACCAGCCGCAAATTATTTTATAAACAGACGATAAATAGTTGACATTTTTCATGCTACTTGCGGCAAGTTTACAATTTATCTTTTACCTTAAAATCGACCTTCGAAACCATCAATATTCTACTTATCTTATATTATGGCTCATAAAATCGACAATATTTACAAAATTACAATACTCTTTACCAGAATGATAAAATCAGAGGCTGTAAAGTTACGTAGGTCGTGGTGGTAACGCCGCTTGGGGTGTTTCCCGCAATCGTCACCAGCGAGTAATATAAATTTGCGCTCTACGTTACCGTCAAGTCGGTAAGTCAACTACCTTGAATCATTGACTGGCGCTCTATAGATGTCGTGACCGGGCTTCCGAGCTTCCGTATACGCCGCGGCCTTACAGTTGTGTCTGTGTGCTGTGACGACGGTGTCTGCCGTGTCTGGCCATATCTGGGTCTGGGGTTTGGGGGCCCTGGGATAGAAGCAGCTAAAAGGACTTACTGTCCTTTCCTGCCTCCACTTTGTATTTTAGTATAATATATTAAGTATACTTAATAATTGTACGGGTTATCAACATCAACACTACGAATTTTTACAGTAGTTGTTTGATTGCTAAACATACGAGTGCTTTAGCTGTAACCTCCAAACTGTATAAACAAGGTGGGTGGGTGCGCTTCTGCTACATATATGCCATACTAGAACTAGATTTTTTGGTTGAAATTTTGTTTTAGTACTGCTCATTCAAAAATTAAGGTATAATTTGACGACCTGCAATGCAATTAGTGAATGTTTTGTTTGGTGGCTAATGTTGATATGTTGTGTTGCTTTGACGTGTACTTTTTTTAGAGAATTTTGCTGATCCTCGATTTCTTTTATTGTGTCTTAAAAAGTCGAATTACAGTAAATAGGATAATGCAGAGCAACGCTACACATTAACAGATTCGTGTTGCGAATACTACACACACACGTATACTATATACAATCGATAATATTATTCAATCCTGCGTTTAAACTGTGATTTTCATAGTTTTTATATTTACTTGTTGGTATTTTTTTTCTTATGACAGCACGTGTACTTCATTGTATTACACCCACCACGCAACATATATACACATGTGCATGTGCATGAAAGGTTGTTAATTTATACATTGGGATTGATCTGTTGTGAAAACTGCAGCTCCGTGTTATATTACTTATTCCACGAGTGTGGGTTTGTTTCTATTCTTCATCGTGGCTCTGTTATGACTATGAGACCTTATTATTAATTTAAAAGTGCGGCTAACTGTGCTCTTAAGGATTGTGCTTTTTTTTGTTGTACTGATGAATGTTTTGGTCTCCATCTTTTTTTCGAATTTTTCGAAAGTTTATGGCAGAAGATACTTTTGTGTTAAATATTATCATCAGTTTAATTAGAACAGGACTTTTCGCAATTGATTGATTAAGAAAAACTCAGTTATCGACTTTAACTTGTTTGAGAACGTGTACTGATCATGAAATTTAATGTAGAATTTTATTGATATTGCACTCTACTTTTCTATAGTGTAAAAATATTTTACAGAACACGTCTTGAAGGTAAGCAGTTTACATCAAAGGATGATAGGAAGAACTCCAGCATGTAATCTGAGGAATTGATTCAATCGTGAAAAAACGAAGGAAGCTTAAAATATGGATCTGAATAGTTTAAAAAATAATTTTAGGAAAGATAATAAATTGAGAACTATAGATCTGTCTAAAAAATCTGAAACATGGCTGTGATATTACTGAACAAGAGGTGGAAGGAGAATCTAAACAATAATAATAATTGTACTACTTGACATCAATCTGTGCAATGATAAGGTAAAAAAGCTTGAAAAATACTTTTTAGTTAGAGTAACAAATACAAAAATTTTATTGTTGCTTCATCTTTTTCGCAGATGACTGATTTTAAAAATTACACAACGTTAGTTACCAACCCATGTTGACTCACATTGTAAGCTTTTATTATCATAATATTCTTATTTATCCGCTTCATCGAAAGCTATTCTAAAAAATTTCCCACTTTTCGATTACGGGTTATTAAGAAAATTGTTGAAACTCACTAGTGGAAAGAAGTCATTTTTTTCATAAAAAAACTACACACTATTTGATTTGATAGATAAGTAAATCGAATACGTAAAACATAAAAAAAATTAAATATCAGCATCGGAAAAAATACCAAATTACTATCACTTTCACACTCGCGCATTTATGCATAACATTAACACCATTCTCTCATGCGAAAATCTCGATATGCCCTGCATAAACACAATCGCTTTTAGTTAACGTCGCGCGATATCCGGTTCGTTAAAAAAAGTTTAGAATATACGCGTAGTCGTCGTAATTTTTTTTCAAGATATGTATCCAACCGAATATTATACATAAAAAACGTCGAGTTTTTTTTACTATATCAGCCCGCCAATTGATGTAGAAAAAATAAACTACGTCATTGTACAAGCACCATCACACATTCATCATTGGTTGCAGAAGGAGCCGGGGGAAGATGTCGAAGCGCCTTAGCTTTTACTGTCTGCTGCTACTAGCAACCGTCTGCATATTGTTCCTCTTGGCGCTGAACCAGCGCTACAGCAGCTACGTTGATCAACGGCTCCAGCAAATACACTCGGTAAGTTGCACCTACTGCGCGCATTACTACTAATGAGCTCACGTACCTACTTACATACTTACCAAGAGGCCCCACAGTGGTGTTAAATTACTGTCGAGACAGGAGTGCGTCCGTTATTGCAGCCCGCACACAACGTGTCACACGATCTAGTTTTGCAAACGATTCCATCAAATTTACTTCATTATTTACGTTACTCTTGCACGCTGTGTGTGCATCGTTTCTTTTTTGTCTTCAATTGTGAGTAATTATACACACGAGCTTAAGAAGTGTGAAGTAATTGTTCTATACCGCTCACGCACAAGCTGGGAAAACAACATTTTCATGTATTATAACACATTATCGTCACCTTTATTCCATTTATTAGTACAATACGTGTGCTTTATTGAACTCAAAGAGCGGCGCCCTTCCTTTATTTCGCATAAATATATTATTACAAATTAGAAATCGCTTAACTTTACCACTCTGTACACCGAGCTATTATACAATAAAATTATATGAAGGATAAAAGGTATACATACTTATCCGAAAGTTTGCAAAATTATACTTATAAAAGTATTTTTACAAAATTCTCTTCATAATTACTTTAAAGAGCGATGCTGGTAATTTACTGTTTGGAATTCTCAAAGCAGCAAAAAATAACAATTTCTCGTCTATGTCGAGTCACAATTGCCGTAAAAAGAGCCTTTTTTTATCGCATGATTAATGGAGACATAAATTTCTTCTCTATCTTGCGTCATATGTATTAACTACCTAATGAAAGTTGATTCCTTGTTTTTGTTTTTTATTTTTTTTTAAACGCCACGTTGCCACGTTGAAACATCGAGCGTGATATTGACGAAGCTTATATATATANATTTGTGGAAACAGTGCCAGCTGCACAAGAAAATCTGTTGGGACCACAGATTCGTGACCAAGTTTTGCAAGCTCTTTCCATTCCAGTCTATGAAAATCGTGCGCTTGAGGCTCAAACCCATCGAGAGGTTTCTCCAACAAAAATATATATATAAATTAATCAATAAACTTTTAATTGAACTATTGTTAAGTTTTTATGTATGAGGTATACATAACACTTAATGATTTTCCGCGTTGTTTGCGTATGCTTTTTTTTAACAACCAACATGTATGATGAATAGACAAAAGTATAAGAAAACTTGTGTCCCTTGATTGTCAGGAAGAGGAAATAAGGTCGCAAATCAGGTATCAAGAGTCTCTAATGGTACCGACCGTCAAATATGACGAGCCTTACATGGTAAGTCTCCCCCATGCATGATATAAGTTACGTGTGTTGTGTATATTATTAACAGTTATACCTATACCCTATACTCTCTGAGTGTTGTTTTGCATACAATCGCCTGTATCATGTTACCATATAATACCGTATCGTAAAGCCATTATTATTATTATTTGTTGCCACATATTTTTATGTAGGTACATCCAAAGCTATATAGCTGCGCGTGCGAGTAGAGGAATATTAACTTTAATGCGAACGCATGCCTTCATTCGAGTGTTATTATCTATTTTTTTTTTATAAATATTCATATCTAAAGTTTACGTGCGCACATATATATATTCATGCGCGCAAATGAAATTCCCGCATAACGTACCCGTAACTTTTTAATTGATCATCTTTAAAATTTATTCCAAACGAAACTCTGTTAATTTCTCAGCGCTACGTAAAGAGCTTTTGTTTTTTTTTTCTGCGCTCGCACGTACCTCTATGAATTTTGTGTGTTTGTTTGTCTGTTGTGGATTTTACAACTTGAAGAAAAAAAAATAGTATAATCTTGCATAGGTAAAAGCATTTATATATAATTATGGCCCTGTTAAAGATGGTCTGATTGGGCTGTAATTATGTAAATAATAAGCAACTACTTTTTGTAAGCTATGGCGATTCAATAAATTAATGAGAAAAAAATACTTATGACGTGCTTGCTTATTATTTTACGCTATTTTTACTACTTCTGTTACCATAAGATATGTAGACCCTCGATAACATGACTATATTTGACCTATTTAGTACATAAAACAACTTTTTTGCTTTCGTAGCAATCGCGCCTTTTGTGCAAAAATATAGGCTTTTTCGAAAATGTCATTATTGGCCTATATATATATATATATATATGCACAACAAAATTCTATCATCTTTTTTGGATTGAATTTTTTAAATGTATATACATATACATTTCAAATGACATGGTCTTACTGTCAGCTAGAAATGTTTGTCTGTAGATAGCGCAAGATGTGTAGAGTTTTGTGTGTTTGATTCATACGTTTTGTCATTCATCGATCATAATAATTTAGGATAATTTCTCACAGCAAAAAGCATGCGTTTTTGTAAAAAAAAAAAAAAAAATGTGTGCTTTGAATGTTTTTGCATGAAATATTTCACCATTTATTTGCTGTCTTTCACTTATAAGTATTAATTTCTAATCCAAATGTATACCTATCATTTCCACGATTTATATTGAAATAATAATATTAAAAAAAAAAACACCCAGTTTAATCAACGAAATATTTTCAATACACGTTTTTAAACCTTTGTTGTGCGATTTTTACGTTTACGCTTCTTCATCTTAGTTTCTCTATCTTAGTTTTTTCAAGCCTTTGGTGAAAAAAAAAAAAAACCTTCGACGATCGAAAAAGCCGCACCTATTTAACCATGAATTATTAAAGTAGTAAATTCAAGGCCATAGGTATAGGGTACGTTGTACCTTATCCTCCAGACGCCTTGTTTGAAATGCATAGACCTCGGCAAACTTTTTTTTCTTCAGAAAAATGAACGCTTTGATGAAAAAAAGTGCCACGGCAGTAATACATTATTTTACTTTGATTTAATTTTCATGCAACTTTATCTTGAACCGCATCGATAATGTTATTGCCTGCTTTGTTATAAATTAACTTATAAATAGTTGGAAAAAAAAAAAAAAATTTCCTCATCCATGCGTGCATCACATTTTTCATCGTGTACACTTATTATTTACTAACTACATTGCTCATCAAAGGTATATCATTACATACAAAGCCAGTGTATCCAATAAATAATCCTCAGCCCACCGTCTCTTTAAACCTGTATGGTAATTTCCGCAAATTTTTTCGGCCACCCATTCACCCGTATAGAATTTCATGAGGGGCAGCACCTACAGTCCAGAAAATATGACTCTTGCGGAGATCGCCGAAGTCATCGACCTGCAGCGGCAGATAATCGACAGGGAGATGAAAGGCTACGTCTATCCGAACGGCAACAGCGGCGTCTTCGCCAGGTAGGTGAAGGAGCTAAGTGTTCACGGAGTCTCAATTGAATAAAAAGTAACGAAATCTATTTATTGAATCAGTAAATTGGAGGACTTGGTGATGGAAAAGGAGGGCAACCCGGTGCGCAGCGTCGTACTGACCACCTGGCGAAGCGGCAGCACTTTTCTCGGTGACATACTCAACGCACATCCGGCCAATTTCTACCACTACGAGCCGCTCCTGGACTTTGGTATCGTCCAGATTCGCGAACCTCCGGTGTCCGACGAAGCCCTCGACAACTTGGATTCCATGTTCAAATGTGATTACTCAAACTTGGGTGAGTTTATCGTTTGCCGACGACCCTGTCCTTTTTCCCCCATTGGCGAGATATACCCATTTTCCGAAAATTTCCACCAGGTCAGTACTTGAGTTTCGGGAAAAACAGTCACCCTTGGGTCTTCAATCACAACACCCATTTGTGGAAACAGTGCCAGCTGCACAAGAAAATCTGTTGGGACCACAGATTCGTGACCAAGTTTTGCAAGCTCTTTCCATTCCAGTCTATGAAAATCGTGCGCTTGAGGCTCAAACCCATCGAGAGGTTTCTCCAACAAAACGAGTGAGTCATTTCGTGTGCTTCGTTGAACAACCTGTATTAAAAAATTATAAAATAAAAAATAAAAAAACTTTTTCTACTCCGCAGACTAGGTGTAAGAGTCGTGCTGTTGATAAGAGATCCGCGAGGCGTCCTACAGTCTCGGAAGCACCGCGAATGGTGCCCTGCCGAGCCGGACTGCTTCGACCCAAGCGTCCTGTGTTCCGACATGATAACGGACTACCACGCGGCTGTGAGATTTACCAAACTCTATCCCGACACATTTAGGTGCGCCCCATGCGTATTATTGTACTCGATATCAATAACAAATCCGAATAAATGTCTAATGGTGAGACCCAATGTCCACAGAGTGATCCGGTACGAGGACCTCTCGCTCGATCCTTACGCCCACACGGAGCAGCTGTTCAAGTTCTACGGTCTGTACTTTCACGAGAGTGTGCGCGACTTTCTGGACACCCACACGAAGACCGACATTGGTGGATTGTCGAGTACGTTCCGCGACTCGAAGACCGCGCCGTTCCATTGGCGCAGAGACCTCGACTACGACGAAGTCGAGAACATACAGCAGGAGTGCAGTCTCGCGATGAAGTACTGGGGCTACGTGCCCGCAGTGAATGCCAGCCACCAGAGGTATTTCGATCCCTTGACGAGTTACAGCTTAGAGTCCAGAGCTGGAGATGGCACTCGGGACGTGTGACTGCTGGATATCGGTCGCTCATAAGTACGTGAATGGTTGTGTTTTTTTTATATTCGTTGAGATTTAATTAATTTTTGTGTTTAGCGCGATGATGGAGGACGACTTATATTCGGTTGTCCCTGTAGTTGTTGTTTCCGTTGATTTCGGTACAGATATATATGCAGCGCGTACATACAGAGATCTGTTTAGTTTATTCCGTTCAACGATTCCTTCTTTGGAAAATAGATTCTAATGTTTGTGATTTATTTGGTAACTGACGTCGTCAAGTGCAATATATTAATATGAGATGCTTGAAAGTTTTCGTGCGTATGGTTATGAGGAATTTCGCAAGTGTAAGATGATGAAAAATTTTACACTTTACATTAAAATTGATACTTATAATCTAAAGTCTTTAAAAAAAAAAAAAAAAAAAAAAGAAAAATTTTGTAGCTGCTATAATACTTATACGTACGTTCGTCGGTTGTACCCTCGCGATTCGGGAAATGACGATAATGGCCTCATATCATGTAAAACACAATTTTTTAATCCTAGAGAATCGGTATACATTCACCGTACATAATTTTTAGATGGCACCCTTTCGGAGATAAAAAAAATATGATATTTGACAACCCATATCGATCTGTTTTTTTCTCTTTATTTATTGATGTACTTTTACAATTTTATCAAATAAGTTGTGTTCAACTGTGTGTTAATGTATAATGAGATTTTGTAAACATGAAGATCTGAGTTACTCGAGAATCAAAATTACGCAAGATTGTCCCTCTCTCTTAAATTAAAGAATTTATATATACCAAAAAAAGCACAAATTTGCGTAATGACTCTGAAACTAAATTTTCCACTCTTCTACAAAGGAAATTTTTTAGCTTTAAGTGATCGAGAGATCAAAAAATGGTGTACCATCATGTAAGTATACGTAATAAAAATTTATGTAATTAGGAAAATTATTTTTTATTAAAAAGCTCTCTTAAAATGAAAATTTAGATATTAAGCGATTTTGCAATAAAGTTATAAGTAATTGTGTAAATACTTTACTTTCGTGTTACTACACGTATATATATATATATATCTAGAACGATGATTGTGATCTATTATTAAGTATCGATTTTACAAACGTGTCATAAATACTCTAGTGCAATTTTATAACGATCTGATGTGTAAATCGGTACTATTGTTTGTAATTAAATTTGGATGCTATATCTCACTCAGCACAAAAATTTTAATAATCATCAGTATAGCATGTGAAACTCGATCGAAAAATCGTTGCACCATTTTGAAATAAATATATACACTTGAAATAGGATGAACTCGAATTTTCTAAGGCTTTTAAACGAAGAAAATTTATTTGTAAGCGCTGTAATGGTAAGAAATTTTTCAAAACCGTAGTGGAAATTGTAACACAATGACGCTTCAAGTATACATTTTATTATTTCTTTATATATTCAATAAAAAATATTTTGTTAAATGTGTTTGTGCTACTGCTATTTTTCTTACATCCAATTCATATTACGTCTAAAAACTTTTATTTATTTTTGAGGAAACTAATAAAAACAACCCAAGAATGAACAAATAAATGAAAAGTCCTCGGATCTCAACGTCGCGTCGATTCACAACGCGATTTCAATGAACTTCTCCGAAACACGTGTAATTGTACCAACTGTATACATAAAATATTCACACTTTGTACATATCACTTTTTTGTTTCACAAATGTGCGAAGAATAAAAAAGTACAATCAGCGAATCATTGATTGCGTTCAATGAAAGATGAGGCTTATCTATGCTCGCATATATAGGCAACCTATACAGTGCAGAACAAAAGAAAGAATTGCGGATGAAGTGTGCATATAAATTCGCGTTGCACTTGACACTGAAATCATATACTTATACTTGAAAGACATGATGATAAAAACACGGATAACATTTGTTGAAAAAAGGAATTGATTTTTCCGAAGTTTTTTTTATTCTAAAAGAATTACTTTCCGTGAACTCGTCGAGGTGAGATCGGCAACCTGCACCTTTCCGGTATTCTTTCGAAAACGAAATAATTAATACATACTTACCTGCTTTCCTCTCTCTCTCTTATCTCCTTCAAAGCACGCACAGTTGCCGAGAGCATGAGAATTAATTTTATCTTCGTTGAAAACCAAAGGAGAAGAGAGAGAGAGAGAGAGGGAAAGCGATGCCCCCAAAGAGACGACGAGGGGGAGAGTCGTGTGTCCGACTTTTGTACACACAATAGGTATACAATACTTACAAGATGATCCATAGCTCATAGAAGACTCGACTCATCCTTGGTTGCTTGTTATACACACAGCACACGAGCTAAAAGCGAAGCAGTTTTATCGCCTCGATCGTGGCTTACTCGTCTACACGGCCAACGATTCAATCATACGAAATACTTTGTTGCAGTTGAACAGTACCGAAGCGCGCGTGAAAATGTTGATCGGGCTCTCGGTGCTTTTGGCGCTGTTACAGCTGTCGAGCAGGTAATCAGTGTTTGTTTTTCTTTTTTGGGGCAGGTAAAATAATAAAACAATCATTTCGAGGGTATAAAGACAAATGCGTTTGATATCGGACTCGGGAGGGGGGGGGGGTTATCGAGAAACGACGGACTGGCTGTTTCGAAACGACTCGCAAGGGCGACGAGGCGAATCGGATGAGCAGTGCATTTCTAAATTGGACTTGATTAAACGCTACAACGAAAGTCGTTTGCGGCTTTTTTCTGCGGAGCTCCGAATGATTCACCACCCATCTCTACTCGGAATCTATTGCCCGCGCGCTTCAGGTGTTATTATTATACAACAATTTACATGTTGTGTTTGTGCGAGCGATTCCACGAGGGGAGGGTCATTTGGAAATTACATGTGGGCCGTTTTTGTTGCTTTTGTGCTTTGCGGCTGGAGGTTTTTTCATTCGAGAGAAATTCCTCTTTTCGGGGATAAAGTTTTTCATTTTATTTTCATGAGGATCGTGACAATATGTAATTTAAAAATTGAAAGAACGGAAGAACTTAGCGTCGCAGAGTATCTTTTTTATTCGCTTTTCTGGAGGTGCGTAAAGTCGTTGTTCGGTGCGATTTAATAAATCTATTTTTCTAGATACGCTCTCGTATTGCGCTTCGAGGCGGCTGAAAAAAATTTAATGCATTTTCTGACATTTCTATACTGTTCCACTGGAAAAGTGCGACAATATGCATAACGTGTGCTTTAAAAATAGACAATAATTTTTTTGTTTGTTTCATTCATGCGTTATTTCATAACGAACAACAGCCAAGTAAGTAATATTTTTGATTTTTTTTTTTACACTTGCTTGTGCCCTAAACAATGGTAAGGTTTAACTACTGCATTTTATTCGGGTCGCAAGAGAAAGTGACTGATACTACACAGAAATCGTATCAAACAAAGGAAATAAATAAAAAAAAAAAAAGACAAAGAAAAAGTCTGAATTAAAAAAAAAAAATGCCATTAAGAGTTTCGTCTGATAGCGAGTTGAAATTTCTCAAAAAATAACGATCGAGTCAAAGTCATCGTCATCGTCGCGTATTTTCTCAGCTCTAGTCCGGGTAAGCCCCGAGCCGGCAACTATGACTTTTTCATCTTCACGCAAGTCTGGCCCGCCACGTCCTGCTTCGTTTGGGAGGAAGAATCTCCGTCGCACAAGTGCAACATGCCACCGGCCTCTGCAATGGACGAATGGTCGATCCACGGGCTCTGGCCCACCTTGAACGGCACCATGGGTCCCTTCAATTGCAACAGTACCCTGCACTTTGACATCAAGGCTTTGGAAAAATTGAGGCCGGAGCTCGAGGTCAAGTGGATCGATGTGCACAAGGGAGCCAAGCCACACGAATTCTGGAGGCACGAGTGGGAGAAACACGGCACGTGCTCGGTCGACAACGAGGCCACCAACACGGAGATCAAGTACTTTAAAAAGGGACTGGAACTGCTGGACGAGTACGAGATGAAGAACGTGCTGGCCAAGGCTAACGTAACGCCCAATCAAGCTTACCTGCTGCAGGACTTCTTGGACGGGGTGAAGAAGATACTCGGGAAGAACGCGTTTGTCGATTGCGTGCGAAATAAAGTACATTGAAGCTACATTACTTACCTCTTCTCGCTACTTCGGCTACCCATACATTTACATATAATTTTTCTCAATTTTTCAACAGAAGAGAAAGGAAACTTACATTTCGGAGCTGCGAATTTGCTTGGACAAGACGTTTCGACTCATAGATTGCAATGGCATTTCGGACTTTCCAAGCAATTGTAATCCCAAAGAGAAAATCATCTATCCTGAGAGCGTACCTGATGTACTCGGGCTGTTGCCATCGGTTATTCAAATTTAACGTTTAACAAATTAAAGGTGTGTTGTTGCATGAGTACAAGTGATTATTCAACATTTTTGAGTGTTGATTTACATGCACGTCGATACAGGAGTAGAATTATGTTGATTTATTAATTTATAATCTAATTACACAAATCTGAAATAATGTATTTTTACACAAGTGCTTCTATGCTTAAGAAATAATCTAGATTTTCTTTGCTGAACCCTTAATTTAATTGAAGAAAAAATTAATTAATAAAATTTTAAATCAGGGATGTAAGCAAGTGTATGAATAATTTGAATAATTTTGTATACCAAAAGAAACATCAAAATGCCTCTGCTTCAAGATTTCTGGAGATTTGGTAAGAAAGTTTAAGTAGAGAGGTGGTCAAGGGTAATTAACAAAATGTTTCACGCAATAGTAATTTTTCTGTTTTTCATTTTATTGAACTTTCATGTTATAAAAACTTACTATAATTAGTAAGGATTTAATTTATTCCAGTAACTTGTCGGTTGTAGAAAAATTTTCTACAGAGCGGACTTAACAAACGTACAGCAAGCTACTATGCACGCCGGTTAACTACTCACGCTCTTTTTGGTACCCGTGTCCCTACGCTGGAACGTGCTTCAAAATGTTATGTTTGCTTGGTGGTCTTACAGCATCAGTAATCTAAAACAAAAAACGACTTTTTGATTACCAAGTTTTCTCCACTTTTTTTTTTTTTTTAAATTCAATAATTATAATTCAGTGAGGGCAAGTATTAATCATTTGAACATTGTCATATTAGCGTATATTAAGTAAGATCATCATCGTAAATTTAAATTTGTTCAACATTTTACAATTTGAATAAAACTTACATTATTTCAAGTAATATCCCATGGTATCGTTGGAGATCAGGGTGACTAGTCATTTAGACCATCTGAAAATAAAAGCCTAATTAATGAAATCGAAGAATTGGAATGAAGTTTTTTCTATAATGTTTGTAAAGATCAGTAATAGTTCGACATCAATAGTTTTCAGTCATATGCTTGTCAATAAAAACATCATACAAATTCATAATACAATAAGAGTTATAAAAGTTAAAAATTTACCATTTGTTTGTCCATTGGCAAGGCGAATGACACGAACATTTTCCTACAAAAATATCTTGCATTAGATTTACGTAATAAACATTTCATTTTTATTTCTTAGTTTCAATAATTTTCAGTTTAGCTTTATCACCATGTTATAGTAAGACAGGGATAACTAAAATTCATCATTGAAATCATGTTACAAAAAATAATGCCTATAAAAATAGTTGTTTACCTAGTGTTACGTCACATACACGTTGCAGGTAACAGTATGTGCACTCGAATTGACATAAAGTGCACAGTGCACAAGAATAGCATCGGTTGCTATACTTATTTCTATGATGTAGAGCAGGGTGTACTTAGTTTTCTCATAGAGATATGCCAATCCGAGTCCGTAGGCCATAAAATAACCGATTTAGTGGATACCTGAACAAAAGTTTTTTTCATTAAAAACGTAAATAGATTAAAAGTCACTTTTGTTTTTCAAGATAATTTCAGAAATAAACAGTTCGTCACTGATCATTCTGTTTGACTGGAGCGTTTATAGTATTCATCATTGAAAATAATACGACAGTACATTGGAAAACCGAGTGGAAAACGTACCTTTACGATGGCGTTTGTTGTAAGCATCAATCAACGAAAGGTTTGCTTTAGGGAATTGATTATTGCCAATAAACCTGAAAAATTAAAGCTTTTATGAGTTTTTGGTTGCAGAGTTATACAAAAGTGTGTTTTCTTCTCCATTAATTGGTCAGTTATCCGAATCAGTCATAGATCTCAGACTGGGGCGGTATGGATATCATCATTTAACAACTATATATTAAGTTTTAAAATTAATTATTAGAAAATATTTACCTGTCGCTTTCTTTCAACTACAGCTGCAATGCCAATTGGTTGTAGAGCACGTGGCGTCAAGGTTTTAATTTTCAACCCATAGTGGTTAATTTGTCATTTTATCTTAATGTTTTAGACGAAATTGTCACGTGTTTTATTTGATCTTCAAGACACTTCATTTTGAACACCTGAAACGCGGTCACAAAATTGATAATAGTTGCAATACAATGGGGTGGAGAGAAAGTTATATAGAAATTTTCAGATGTTAAGGATATAATCATAAGTATCATACGAACGAGACTATGAGTTTCATCATTCTGTAACCACGATTTGCAAAACAGGTTAATTAAAACGAAGTGTTTTAATTAGAGAAACCTACATTTAACATTACACAGGTTATAATTGAGTATGTGTATTAATTTCAGCGCACAGAAGACAAGGCAGAAAATTCAAAATTTATCAATAAGCTTCACCAATAATTTTGTATATGACTGCGTTAAAATCTATAACTAAAGACGTTAACGAGTGACACACTGTGTTCATTACAAATTATTTTTATTAGTTAAATTGTTGGAAAAATACGTAGATTGAACGATAGATTAAGTCTTACTAAATATTAATAATATATTCTGAACGATAAGGAGTTTATAAACGAGCTGATGTACACGGATTTGCAAAACTTTAAACAACGTGGTTGAATCAACTTACCGAGACTCTGCCTACGGTGACTTGGAGTCCAAGACCCAATTGACCCATCCGATCTAGTCGAAGTTTCGGAGAGAAATGACTGGAACCGCTGCATACGGCGAGGTCGTTGAGTCGTTTTTGCCTTTTTGGCGGCAACTCGTACAGGGAGCGCTGCTGTTGAATGTACATTTGGCGCGTTTTTTTGAAAACTAATTTCTTTCACTTCTACCAATGGACACGCAAAATGAACTAAAGACAATTCAGTTTTTATATCAATCTTAACGTTTAACTAGTTGGGAAAGGAAAGAAGGATCAGATTTAAATAAAAGTAGTTGAACTCGTTGTTGCTTTATAGGTTTATTGAAAAAATATTTTTAAAAAGTTTTTTGCACCTACTGGTAGATGCGGAAAGACGAACGCGCTGGGCTCAACCGTGCCAAAAGTCCAAGGTCCATCGACACAACCGGTCGGCCCTCGGTTTTGACCACATCGCTGTATTATACAATAAATACTTTATATCAAAATACTTTATTCAATATATTCACACAAACATTGCTGTATTCAATAAATCTAAAGTCTTTAAAAAAAAAAAAAAAAAAAAAGAGTTTAATTATCAAGGCACCAAATTATCACAAGCAGCTATACGCATGTATATATGTTCTAAACCGTTTGTTTACATGCAAGAAATGTTGCCTGATTTTGGCTAGAGGGGGCGCAACCTCTGTTTCGGCTCGGAGCGAATACACATTTTCAAGAAAGCAACAACATTAACTTGAAGAAAAAAAAATTAAGTCACGATGTAAGTAAAATCATATTCCTATATACAAAAGAGACAAAATAGGTAGGTATACACTTTACAGTTTAAAATTTTGAAACTACAATTCATGCGTAACTTTATATAATGGGTAATTAAGTACACATTTTTATTTTACTCTTTTTGAACCTATTAGAGCTATAAATGCTAAAATGCTACATATAATCCATGCGCTGAACCAAACACACCTATACTCCAAATCCGTACCTATATACCCCGAGCTGTGTATATCTATGTGTCTATGTGAATAGCTCCTTCCTGAACCCAGACGGTCTGGGCCAGACCTAGCAGCTCCGAATTCCGAACCCCGAACCGAATGTCTTGCACATCACACGTACCTATAGAAAAAAAAAAAAAAAAAAAAAAAAAAAAAAAGAAAGAAAGGAACGAACGAAGAAGCGTAGAAAGAGTAACAGTGGCGAACGTCTCTCGCGATATTTGTTTATTTATACACTTTTTTTTATACATAAATTTAACGATTCCAAAACAAAAGTCTTTTACAACCATATAATCATCTCTTCGGATCAGCTGTTTATATAAATACACAAGTATACACACATTAAAAATTACGCCTGTGGTCGCCGTTTTTTTTTAGCAATCAATTTTACCAAACTTATAAATTGTAAATACACGTCACGTATAGTTATTTATTAAGTAAGTCATAGAAACGTTTGCCTGTGTGTGCGTTCGAGGGAACGAGAAAAGATAAAAATTGACCCAATCCGATCTTACAACGTCATGTACAATCTAGGTGTACCTAATTGTTAAAACATCACAGGGTGAAGATCAAGAAAAGGAATCAAGTTGCTGTTTCAAGGCTAATACACTTTTTATAGATTGTTGTTTGTTGTTGATTCGTAAAAAATGGGAGTACCCAAGTTCTTCAGGTACATCAGCGAGAGATATCCTTGCCTCAGTGAAAAACTCAAGGAAAATCAAGTAAGTGCAACATTGAGTTCTTACAAGGGCATTTATTTGTTTCTTTTTGCGTTTTGTGTGTATTAGTATGTGTATGTACACTCAATGAGAGGAAAACGATTTCCTTTTGACTCCTTTCACCTTTGGCTTCTTGGATGCTTATTATTATTATTTTTTTTTTTTAGTCTTTGTTTTGTTTTTAAAATGATATTCTATAAAAGGCTCACGTGCAATGTTTTGTGGAAATTTTCATAACAGAAGTTGCTTATGTTTTCTTTGTACACACCTTTACTGATTGAATTTTTATAAACATTCAAATGGGATCATAGTAATAGATTTTTTAATGATATTTTTTATAATTGGAGTTTATCTTATTACTGATGAATAGCTACAAGATTTATTGCTTGGATGAAAGCTGCCCTTGCATTTTTCTTTATGTTTCATTATTTCATGCTTTTTGAAAGTTTCAAATTGTTTCACTATAGTCTAATTCATTTATAACTATAAAAAATTTTTTCTTTTCAGATCCCTGAGTTTGACAACTTATATTTAGACATGAATGGTATCATTCACAACTGTTCGCATCCAAACGACGCGGACGTTTCGTTTCGTATAACAGAGGAAACGATATTCAAGAATATATTTCACTACATAGAAATATTGTTTCGCATAATACAGCCCCAAAAGCTGTTTTTCATGGCTGTGGATGGAGTAGCACCACGTGCCAAGATCAATCAACAGCGCGGTCGGCGTTTCCGTGCGGCAAAGGATGCCGAAATTCAAGAGGCCAAGGCACGAGCCAAGGGCCAGGAAATTCCAAAGGAGGCAAGATTTGACTCCAACTGTATTACCCCGGGAACAGTATTTATGTCGAAGCTTAGTGAGCAACTGAAGTTTTTTATTACCCAAAAAATATCCACTGACAAAATTTGGCAGAAATGTAAAATTATACTTAGTGGATCTGAGGCAAGTTTTACATACTTTTTAATTACCGTTTGTAGTATTATATTGATATTTTTTATGAATTAAAGATTTTGACATGTTTTACAGGTACCTGGGGAGGGTGAACACAAAATAATGGACTACATTAGGTACATGAAAGCTCAGCCAGATTACAAAGGGAACACACGTCATTGTTTATACGGTTTAGATGCAGATCTAATTATGTTGGGGCTTTGCTCTCACGAACCGCAATTTTCGTTGCTTCGTGAGGAAGTAAAGTTTGGCAAAGCTCAAAAAAAGATATTGACTCCAGAGGAGACTAATTTCTGTCTTCTTCATTTGTCCTTGATGAGAGAGTACTTGGAACATGAATTTTCTCCTGTCAAGGATAAGTTACCCTTTAAGTTCGATTTAGAAAAAATCATCGATGATTGGGTTCTCATGGGTTTTTTGGTGGGAAACGACTTTATCCCACATTTACCAAATTTGCACATTGAAAATAATGCACTGCCAATTTTATACAATGCTTACATGGACGTGTTGCCCACGTTAAATGGTAATTGACTTGAAACAAAACAAGAATTGCTTAGATAGTAAATTTCATCCACCTTATTTTTACATTTTCACTATTTGAAATTACTATTTGTAGGATATATTAACGAAGCTGGAACGTTAAATCTCGAACGTTTCGAAAAATTCATGGAAAAACTGGGAGGCTATGATATGGAACAGTTTGATGAAATTTACGCTGATCTGAAATATTTGGAATCAAAAACCGGTCGACACTTGAATGATAGTAGAAAAAGTTCGTCGGATGAAAATTCGACTCCAAAGAAAGCAAACAAAGCATTGGATGCCTTGATCATGGCAACTAAAACAGAAGTGAGTAAATCAAAATTTTTAAAGAATAATAAATATTCTGTAATTTTCATTACACAACTTTAATTTTAGTTGGGCGATTCTGAAGACGATGATGATGAAGAAGAGGAATCGGATGATGAATTGAATATGAAACTAGAATTTGTACAGCATAAGCGGGATTACTACATGAATAAAATGGAGTACGCAAATGTTGATGCGTGAGTGATGCGAAATTTTTATGATCTTTAAAAGAAATTTTACACGTGTTTGAAAAAAAAAAAAATTATTCTTAGAGAAATCATGCGTTCACAAGCTGAAGGCTACATCAGAGCAATCCAGTGGAATCTTCACTATTACTACAACGGCTGTTGCAGCTGGTCATGGTATTATCCACATCATTATGCGCCCTACATCTCGGACATAAAAAACTTCAAAGATTTGAAGCTTGAGTTCGATATGGGTGAGCCGTTCAAACCGTTTGAACAATTGCTGGCTGTCCTGCCAGCTGCCAGCAAAAGTCTGCTGCCTAAAGCCTATCATGGTCTTATGACGGAAGAGAACTCGCCGATAATTAAGTATTATCCGCTTGATTTTAAGACTGATCTTAATGGAAAAAAGCAAGAATGGGAGGCTGTGGTCTTGATTCCACTCATTGACGAGACAAGTTTGTTAAATGGTCCGTTTTTAGTCATCAGTCTATCATGCATTGATTTATCAACTGACACTGTGTAACTTTTTTAACAGCTATGATGCCGTGTAATGTCAAGTTGACGTTTGAGGAACAAAAGCGCAACCAGCACGGTCCAATGGCAATATTCTCGTATACTGATAAAGACATGGGAATTAAAGAAGCGCCAGAGTATTTTGGCAGTGTGCGTAGTCGCGCATTCGTTCAGTTAGTGGACAGAGAAGAAATTCTAGTGGTGAAGGAAAAGCTGGTCAAAGGCTTATGCAAGGGAGTCCGGTTAAGTACTTATTTCCCTGGATTTCCCACATTGCAACATATTCCGCACACTGCAAGCTTTCAAGTGGCTAAAGTAAATAAAGTTTCGATAAAATGGTTAAAATCGCGCAGGACATTTATGCGATGTGTATCTTATAACGCGCACTTTTGTTTCAGGTAAAAGTATTCGAGCAGCCATCCAGACGAGAAAACATGATACTTAAAGTTCTACCACGAACGACACCTCCTTTAGAAGATTTAGCTAACAATTGGATCGGCAAAACGGTATACGTTTGTTGGCCACATCTTGTAGAAGCTGTAGTAGTGGGAATATCTGACGCGAAAACTAAAATCAGTGTCACAAATGCACATCTCAAAAAGTATACAGGCGAAAATCTTTGGTTTAATACAGAAAAAATGGACGATAAACACATTACTGTTTGGAACATGCAAAAAAAATCGATCATCGAAAAGTAAGGAGTTGTCTATTTTTCCTATAATTACATTTCGAAAACTTTTTTAACACTAAATTCGCTTGATGTCAGCTATAAAACTCGATTAGGAGTTGAGGTAGGTGATATCGAAATCATCGTACACGCCTGTACATTAACGGGATGTCAATACGTTTACGGTCAACAAGGCAAAATGACACTCGAAAAACAATGGAACGAGAATTCGATCGGTTTCGCTTATCAGGTTATCGTCGATGAAATTTCCGTTCACGACTCGGAATTCATCCTGCACAAATGCATCACGGATGTGTTCAAAGTCAAAGACATTTGTTTCATGCTTGGTCATCCTCATTACGGTTCCTGTGGGGAGGTTTGTTTACTGAGTTTCGCTTGAGTACACAAACACTTTTTCTATTCCATGTGTTGAATATGTTTGTTTTTATTTTAGGTTACTGAACCAGCGGTAGATTTAAAGACGGGTAGAATCAAGGTATCAATGCGCATTCAGCTGGAACCGAATTTCGATCGAATTCGACATTTGCAGGCAGATACAAGAATGAGATACATGCCTGGCAATGTCGCTGCGCAGCGATTAGGTATAAGCAGTCATCTTCTTAGTAGGATAACGGGCACGATTTTTGTGATAGATGGTGATGCGGTGAATCCCAGTAACGCCTCTAAATACAATGTTGGGCTAAACTTGAAATTCAACAAAAAAAATGAAGAGGTGTGTTTACATTTTTCTTTATTTTGTAGAGTATTTCGAATCAGTTGGTACATAATTTTAATGGGTTGTTGTAGGTGCAAGGCTTTACCAGAAAGGATCAAAACGGTGTGTGGTTGTACAGTGTAAAAGCGGTTGACTTTGTGAAGAATTATATGCAAGAGTTCCCCGAACTGTTTGAACGCTTAGAAACAAATCTAGGTTCGGCTGATATGTTTCTAAAAGATAATCTATTCCCAAACAATAGGTAATTGTGTTTGTGTTATTTATTGCTTTTCTAATGTTAATAAACACCATTTATATTTATTGTTGCAGTAAAAATACTTTGGAAACAATAGTAGCATGGGTAAAAGAAAAACAAAAGGTGTTGGGTACAAAAGTTCGTGCCTGTGGTATCGAGGAATTAGAGCTCGAAGTCGTACAAGAAATTGAAAAAGAAATCGATGAATGCCTAAATGGTGTTAAACAACTAAATAAAAATCTTACTATGCACATTAAGCCATATCTACTGTACAAACCAGGTTTGAACTCTGGTAGTACACCACCTGATCCTAAAGCTCATCATCGTTTGTTGGATCGAATAGTTTGTGTGAGAGATAGTTTTACTGTGCCACTTGGATACCGGGGTACGATCGTTGGTATACAGAAGAACGATAATTCACAGTTAAATATGTATGAGGTGTTATTTGATCAGCCTTTTGAAGGTAATATTCTTCATTATCATTGAAACGAATAAAGATTAGAGTTACAAATAAAAATTGATTACAAATTATTTTCAGGAGGCCTGGTAATTCACAATTGTTCACCCAATCGAGGCTATAGGCTCTCTCCCACAGATTTTATCAATATTAGCTATGGACTTCAGATAGAAAACAAGAGCAAAATTGCAATTGCCCAGCCTCAGTGGCGACAGCAGCAACAACAGCAGCCGATGTTACCTGTTTCTAACTTTTCATCACAATTCAAACTGCCAAAGCAGCCGCCCTTCCAAGCGCCTGACCCTTCCATCCTCAGCAACGTTCATCCGAATTTCAGTAAAAATACACCAATTAACAAACAGTTGCTTGGTAGACCCCTGCCTCCAAAGAATGATTTCAACGACCCGAAGAAAAAGAACTCTGGTTTTCCCGCGCCTCCAACAATTTTACAGAAATTTTCACAGCCACCAGAGGTCAATAAGAATGTACAGCAACAGCGCAACGCGCCTCAGCAAGGCGCATCTGAATTTCAAGCGCTTTGGAACGAATTGCAACAGATACAGGTGTATATATTGGCTATGACGTATTGTACACTTTACCATGTATCAAATTGAGAAAATAAAAATTTTTTTTTTAGAAACCATTGGAATCGCCGAAAAAACAACCTCAAAAGGTCAAAGAGCAGCCTAACAATAAGTTGCCTAGTACCAATAAAGAAATGGTAAGTGTAGAATCATTTACAAGCTACGAAAAATACGAAAATCTTCTGTGCAATATTGTAATTTATTGACAAATAGCTTTGCATCACTAAAAACAAAATAATTATGTTAAAAACCAAGTGGTTTTGTCAATATTTTGTTACTGCACAGAATTATGAGTATGGCACGTTTATCGAACTATCCTACTTTTCTCGACTGCTTTGTTATCATAGCATGCTTTTACTTCTCCTTAGTGCATGTCAATCCTAACGTTCCTTTTTTTCACTCTTGGCACGATTCAAAATTTTATAGTTTAGAATTTATTTTAAAAATTTTAACGGGTCGCACACTTTTTGTTTAAAAGTCTCATGCACAAGTAATTTTTTTTTTTTTTTTTTCTTCATCCGACTTTGTGTGTTAATTTTTTGAAAACAAAGAAAAACCGCGGCGTAATGGAAAGTTTTTGAAACACGAACTTTTCGACCCATGTATTTAGTTCCTCGTGTCAAAACTACCGCGTGTGTATATAAAAACTTGAGCGGTATAGATTCAAATTTTTGTCTCAACAACTTTTGCTCTCTTTAGTTCTGTCTCTCGCTTTAATTTGTTGTAAAAAATACTTGAAGTTATGTCGTTTGCTTAAAACATCTTGATATTTGAAAACAAAAACAAAAAAAAAAAACAAAAAAAAAAGCCGCAGCCGCAGGACCCGAGCGCATTCTTGAAAGCGATGTTGAAAATTTCGGACAATAGCATGTCTCAAAGCCTCAGCAAAACGTCAACGACTCCTTCCGCCTCTTCTGTCTCCTCGACGTCAGCGCCCGTCACGAGCAGCAAACCTTTGGCGTTCCCGACTCCGCCGCAAACGCAGCCGCCTAAGGCGGTTATCGACACTCCACCCCTGGTGCAACAGATGTTCGATGTACGTTACATTTTAATTTAATCAGTGCCTTCGTCCTTTAACAACTTTTATCAAACGTTATTTCTCTGAAGTGGTCTACGTGGTGTTCAGTGTGATAAATCATTATTACCATTGGGTTGGTTGCGTACGTTTTGATAATATCTGTTGGTTATTGTTTTAAACAAACTGGGCAACTTTTTAATTGGGTTCGCTATTTTGCTTTACAAAGTTGAAAGAAGTACAAAAATCTAAGCTTATCAAGGTGTGGATTCATCCTCAAATATTCAAATGTGACCTTTTTTTCTTACTACTAAAATGCATCAACTAAAGTCCGTAAGTTTATACTAAATGACATTACTGACTGCGATTCATTAAACAAGTCTTTACTTTTGAGCTCTCAACAATTTTGCAATCACTAATATTTTAACATCAGCTTGCGTTGAATATAAGAAATCCATTAAATTTAAATTTAAAAAAAAAAAAATTAAAAAAGAAAGAGCTGACAATGACTTAAGGATTGTTTTGACTATTAGAAATTATCTGATTTTTTACTAATTTTCCGCATCTATTGCAGCACGCGCGAAAAGCCGAGATCAGGAGTGGTAAAAGTATCTGGTATTGTTCACGACTGTTGTCGTACTATCAGCTCTTGGGTACAAGCTTTCCACGTTATAACTACTGTACAAACAAAGATAATCTAGTGTGCGCGCAAATTACTTTACCAGACATGCGTATTTTCTGCAGTGATTTTTGCAATACTCATGGCGAGGCCGCCGAAAATGCTGCCAAAAAGGTTTACGAGGTATAATGCAACACTTGCCATTCAACTCGATTGAAAAAAAGCTTCCTTGCTTCGTTACAATATCTTTAATAATTACACCTCTTATTGCAGAAATTGCAGCAGGAAAAACCACTACCTCTAAGAATGCCTCCAGGTCCGATGAGAGCAGCCCCTCAGATTCCTCCTCAGCATCCACCACCGCAGTCCCAGTGGTACGGCAATCGGCCTGGTGTTCCAATACGACAGCCTATGCCTCCGGCTAATATGGTCAAGCCTATGCTACCAGCTGCATTCCCACAAGCGTCGATTATGCCAATGTCGATGCCGATGCCGCCATTGCCACCAGTGCCAAAATGGAATCAACAAGCCCAGGCTTACGGTCCGATACAACCACCGCCGATGCATAAGCATCAGCAGCCACCGCACCAACAACAACGGGTTCAGTCTCAAAACCAACAGTATCAGCAAAAGTTCCCGCAACCGCCCATAATCAACAGTAATGTTGATAAACTGGGTGCCATGAGACAACAGACATCACCGAAAAAGAGCACGCCGTTCGTACCGCTCCAGGCACAAAAAAAGACAAGAAACGTCATCAACAAACAACCACAGCAACAACAACAGCATCAGCATCAAAAACCATTCAACAGAGATCAGTCGGAGAGAAACACGATGGAAAGCAAGATAGAGCAAAAGACTAAAGAGAACCTGCCAAGCAAGGTACTTGTTACTTGTTATTGCTGTAGAGATCATTTAAATTATTACCGTGTCAAACATTTTTTTTTTTTTTTTTTTTTCACAGGATAAAAAGATAGACAAAAAGGAGGACAAGAAAATTAACAACAACTACACAGCTGGTGCGCCTGCTGCTCAGAAAAACGAACCACAAAACACAAAACAAAGGCGATCGAGAGTTGCTGCCAGATTTCAAGCTCCTTTAGCCAACGGCAGTGATAAACAATAATTGGTTGACTGTTTTATTTATAGACAAATGGGCAATTTCTTATATTGATTCAACCAGTGATACTAGCCTTTTATTCAGACGCCAATCATTATTATTATTATTATTATTATTATTCATTTTTTATTGTCTTTGTTCGATCATGCATACCTTACTTTTTTTCTACTATGGTACGATTGTCAAAAGGAGATTCAATGTATTAGTGATGTGCGTAATCTCGATTTAGAGGTAGCAACGAGAATTTAAGAAAAACTAAAAAAAGAAAAGTGGACAACAAAATGAGTTTTATTTTTGTAAAAATGATGAATAAAATAGATCAAATTTATTGCGTGCTCCTTGCTGGTGTACCCATCATTACGACCAAAACCCTGACAGATTACAAATAACGGTATACAAGTTAATAAAAACCAAAAAAATAGTGATAAAAATAAAATGTCGGAATAGTCTCCTATTGATTGATTTTTCGGGCCGTTGTAACAATCCAAAAGTACTGTAGTTACAATTATCAACTATTTTATTTTGCTTAAACTTTAAAAAAGAGGTTTTCTACTATTACACGTTACGAGCATAGACGAGAAAATTTACTTAATTTTGTGAGGTAAGATATTTCTCAAAATAAAATATTTGATTACCGTAAACTAAGAAAGCAATTTGACTAAAAGTTATTTAATATTGTCGGAAAACATTGTAAGTTTACAGGTACACGTACTTCATGTTTAGTACATAAAGATAATTTTTATTTGATAAAAAACGTTATACTATGAATTGATTCTGAATTGATACAGATTTTGATTCAAGGAGAGATTAACATAATTATTTATATCTCCAGGTTTCCATGATTGCTGAGCACACTGTTCCTGGAAGAGTAATTTAAAACGTTGGAGTATGTCGCACATTCGTCTGTAATTGATGCGCTCGCGTAGAACCGACTGCATGAAATCTGTCTTAACTTTGTCGCTCATGGGATAGTCTTGGAGAGCCAACTTTAACCATTGAGTCATTCGTTCGGTGCTGCAGGCTTTATTCGTTACTAACAGGACTTCAGCAAATGGTTCCAAGACACGGGGTCGAGACAAATCTGCTGTAAAAGCATTGGCACCTCAATAAAAAAGATCTACGCGATTTTGAAAATATGTGGTTTTAGATGTTATTTTACCTATACTGTGTACAATGATGTGAATCAGTTCTTGGCCAATTGGTTGGATAAAAGTTTGCAGATGTGGGCTTTGACTTATCGCATGCTTCAAGAACGAAGCAGCGGCCTTCGATAATGGCATTTCGGGTAAAAGTAGGCAGGCCATCCCTGAAATCAAAATTACATTTATGTGAATTCGAGTGATGGTTAAATAAATTGATGCTTCTACCTAAAGATAAAAAAAAAATTTGTTTTCAGCACTTGAAATTTTAAATCACTCTTTGCACAAACGTCTAGTTGTTCTCTGATTTCAAGTTTTTTAACTGATGCATCAATTTCGTTTCATTCTTTTTCAACTGGTTAAATTTATTTTTCAAGTTTTCAATGACGGAGAGATTGTTCAACAGGATGTTGTTGTAGAACGATTTCAACTCTTCGTAGGCCCGTTCGTGCTCCTTTACCAAGTTACTGGTGTGCTCATTCTTCCGTTCCTCGATCTCCATTATTTCCATGTTGTGTTTCAACGAAAAGTGCTTCTGATACGCTATCACCTTGTCGTTGTACTTTTTCTGCATATCATTGCAGTTTTGCTTGAACTCATTTTGCTTTTGCTCCAAAATCTTTCTGTGCTCTAATTTCAAATCGTGGTTTTGCTTCAAATTACCTAAATTGACTTCAGACTCTATTTTCAAATTATGGATATTATTCTTAATGATTTCAGCCTTTTTCTGCAAAAATTGATTTTGGAATTTTTTCAAGGACACCAAGTTCTCAACATTAATGTTAGCTGCTTCTGCCTGGTAAGTGTGCACCATGTGCGCCACTTTCTTTCGATTCACCAGAGCCTCCTGCTCGAATTTCAGCTCGTAATCGTGAGCCTCCTTTCTGAGAACTCTGTTTAAATTCCGCGACTCCTCCAGCTGTTGTCTCGTAATGTCCCAAAATGTTTGAATATTATCCCTTTCTATTTGAAAAAAGTTTCTCTCCTCGCGTTCCCGCTCGATTTCTTCCAGCAATTTGGCCGAATACACCGCCAACTGTTCTTTGGACATTTTCGTTATGTCAACGCTGGCGTTATTTTTGCTTGCGTTCTTGCCTCCTTTGCTCGCCATGTTTTTAGTATTACTTGTATTTCATTCACATCAAAGTAAAAACTTGAAACTGAGAACACTTGTGTTTCCAAAAGTGCCGGTACTACTATAGCTCACTACTACTAATTTATTGATCGTTTACACGGTTGGGTGCACATGCGAGCGGGAGCGTTACTTAGTTACCGATCAACAAGTGCGAATGATTGCAGGTAAACAACAAAATGCAATTATAGAGAAGAGGGTGACGAGTAAATATGAAAATAAAGATGATGAAAATCGATTCAACTTAAAGCCCCAACGTAATAAATAAAAATAAATCTTTTCTCACCGATACGTAGCATCTCGGGCACTTCATCGGGTACGAGCAGTAAAAATCTCGGACACAAAACGCAAACTTTCGCAAGAAGGCCCAGGTAGGCTTCAAGCAAATCCCCGAATTCCGACAGACTACCACCACTCATTTGACTGGTGACTAAACTGCGCAACGTGCTATTGTTGATTTCGCTGAAAACGGACACGATAACGGTTTCCGGACTCCGACCAAACATCGTGACCAGTGTTTTAAGGAAATTCAGAGAAACCGGAATCGGACACTTTTTGTAAGATTCGTTAAGTAGCCTGGTAAGGCGTTCGACTTCGTTTTTCGGCTGATCTAACACTGGCAAGGCTTTGTGCAAACAGGTGAATACTGCTTCCATTGTTTTCTCCTCCCTGCCCCATTCTGGATGGTAGACCAGCTGTAAGAAAAAAAAAAAAAATCATAGAGTTCTTTTTGAATCACGCAAAAAAATGACGTGCCAGTGACACGTACCCCTTCGAAAATCGGAAAAACCGCCTGGAGCACTGTGTTGGTGATGGGGCCCTCGAGATTCGAGAAGAAGATGGTGACCATTTTCAGTTCGTTGATTATCGCCTGTTGCGCTTCCTTGACCGGTAGCTGACAGAGCTCCCTCATCCTTGCTAAACACCTGCCTATTGTAGCCTCGAGATGCTTAACTTGTTCTTCATGTGTGGGTAACGTTTTTAACAGTTTACTGGCTGCATACATGAGACGCAAACCTTCGCCGCCACCGGAGGTAAAGTTGTTCAGTGTCTGGCTGATTGTCTCGAGTAACGACGGCGCCAGAGGTGCCAGGGTATCATCGCACTCGCGACAAATGTCCTTAAGAGCCATACTTGCTGCCGGCGCTGTTTCTGGGCTGCTCGTTAGGCCAAGAATGACGAGCTGAAGCGCACGTTCTAGGTATTCGGGTTTTTTTGCGATTCCTACCGCGTAATCGCCGATTGCTGAGCACGCGCTGCACAATACCTAGAGGTAAAATATCGCAGCATTTGCTAATGTCATACGCTGAACTACGTTCGTTGGAAAAATGATGAACGAAAGAAATTGCTTACTTCTCGTGGGTACATTTGATAAGGAATATGCGTCGACAGTAACAGATCCAGTATGGCTGCAGTGTATGGCTGAACAAATTTAAATGTACAAATGTCACACAATGCCTTAAAAGCATGAATGGCCGCTTCAACCTCGGGCCATTTAGAAACATCTTCTTGCGGTTGGCTTAACTGTTGTCCGATCATTATAAATAAATCTTGTTGAATCACGTTATAACAATAAATTAGGGTATCTGCAACGTCTTGCCTAAAAAAAAAAAAAAAAAAAAAAAAACAATGGAAAATTAAATCCGGCATTTCAACAAAGACTGAACGATTGCTGGATACGAGACACACCTGTAACACCTAAACAATTCACGGTCCTCGGAATTGCCAGCTTGACCGGGCAACGACGGTAACGTAGATTTTTTGAGAAGTGCGTGCGCTAATCTAGCGTAGATTGGTTTGAGAGCGACTGCGGCCTCCTCGTTAAGCGGCGGATCCAAGGTGGCCATATCGTCCTGCAAAGCGTACCAAAAGCCAAAAGGTATACAGCTTCGTTTCTCCTCGACTGGATAGCGGCCTTCTTGCTCCGAACACTGCAGCAAAAATTCTATCAACTGTTGAGAAGTCCGTTTGTGGTCTTGGTGATTCGGATCGTTATCTATCAGAGACAGGAGGATATTTCGACTGTGCGCTTCGCCAAAGGCTGTAAGAATTTCGTAATAGTGCTGAGCACCAGATTGTTCGACCATGCAAATAAGGCCTTTGCCCCAGTGCCAAAATAGCTGGGGTAATTTGTACAGTTCTGAATGGGTTACGACCATTGTCAAACAATCCTGCACTGCTTCCAACCCACGATTTTCACCCTCCAAATCATCTCTTAAAAGATAAAATTGAGTTGATTGACCATTGGTCGTGTTGTATGTCAATAATTATTCATAACTAGATTAATACCTACTTTTTTGGTATGAAATGAGCCGCTGATAGTAATAAATGGGGATAAATCGGTCCTATCGTGTCCAATGGTAACTGACCAATTCTCAGCCACGATAAGGTACATTCAACCCCCAACAGGTACAAAGCTTCACTTTCAGGAGTGTTTCCTATGCTACACGATAAAAATATTTGCTCCAAAAAACACGCAGTTTTACGCCAATTGCGAATCATGATTTCACGCTGTTTTGTCATCTTCATCCATTGAACTTGCTCAGCTTCAGTCTGCTGAAACAAAGGTTATACATCTTATTTGATTTGTATGTACTCAATGTAGATCAAAATAAATAGCGTACATGTGAGAACTTGAAAAAAAATTTTTAACAAAACAAGAAATGTTCATGTACAAAATACAAAATTTCAAGATTAATATGCACCATGTTGGTGTGTCTGTTACATTCCAGTACATTGTGAAATTTGTCAGAACGTACTTCTGTTGGTATGGCCTCAAGAACTCTTAAGAGTAGGCCAACTGTTTCTGGCGAATTGTATGGCAACATTTCTACTAACTCTTCTACTATACATTTTTCTCTTTGTCTTTCTTCACTTTGTGACAAACTGCTTTTCATGGAAAAAGCAGCTAACTGAAATAATAAACATTTTTAGTCAAATATGGCATTATATTTAATCAATTTAACTACAAACATATATAAATTCATATTACCGCCTGACATAGCTTTGTCAATACGACTGTGGAAGTTCCAGGATGCTTCAAAACTTCAAATAAACGATTTCTTAAATCTAGGTAATCTGATTTTGGCACCTCTTCCCATTGCTTGGATATTTTTTCATGCAATGCATTAGCAGCAAAATATTGGACCTCTCCTGACTGCAACAAATTAATATATTCTCTTATTTCTTGAAATTAAACAGGTGTATATACTATTGATTCAAAGTTGACTTTAATCATACTAGTATGCACTATAATACCTTTGAAGGATCCAAAAGCTGCCAAACAAAAGTCCAGGCTTCTTTGGAAGCCTGGACTTGCAAAAGCCAGTTGTGAATCTCATTATTACCAGAAGAATAAAATCTTTTCACAGCATCTTCAACTTGCATTGCATGATCCATCACACACAACAGTCTATCAAAAATTCCTTAAAATTAATGGATTCTTCAATAAGTAACAGCCTTCTTGTACATATACTTCCTGTAAAAGAAGAAACAAAAGTTTTTTTTTATTCCCTTGACAAAGTTTTAGATATTAAGTAAGAAATGAATAATATTATACACCACAACTTACCAATTACTTTTCTAATCTCCATTAAAACTTTTGCAAATCGTATTTCTCTTCTTTCCTCATTGTTATTAGGAGAGACGACCTGATTGGCTTACCTTCTAAATCTGAAATTATTCTCAGGTCTTCTTTTGTGGGTTGTTTTAAATACTTAAAAAAGTGTAAATACTTCTGGTTGACATAAGTATTACGCACCACACATTTGTATAAGTAAGACAAAAAAAAAGTTTATAGATTGGTTGAACCAATAGTATAAAAAAAAAAAAAAAACAGTTGACAGAAACCTCTGATGAGTGTTTTACGAATTTGTACGTAATTAAGGTACCTACACTACCTGCTTGCAAAAAAGTGATAGCCTGTAAGCCTGCACACCCACACAGTTCAACTTTTGCGCTGGCTGATATTCTGATGCTTGGTAAGTATTTTTGTTGCAGTAAATGCTGTTGTTTCGTTGTTATTGCGTTTATTAATCCATCCTGTTTTTGTAATGTATTGTCGTTTAATGATTAAGTCGCAAGTTGTGACATCGACTAATGATAATGATGCTCTCTCTGACACTTTCTTTTTTATATACTCTGCTGCTTATATACAGATCGCTATCGTTGCCCGCTGATAATTTTTCTGATGATATATTGCCATGTATTGATTGTATTGATATACTTAATGGATCAAACAAAAGGAGAGTACAGCTTGAATATTAGAAAAGAACCACATGCAAAGCAACAAATTAACGCCACCCCCTTTCTTCGTGCAACTCTTTTTTTTTTTTTTTTTTTTCTTCTAATGAAGAGAATAGAAAAACACACGCACGCGCGCGCACCTTTGCCTGCGCCACTGCTTTCACACTCACACTGTGAAATTCACAGGCAGCTGAGGCAGCTCACTCGTCGACTTGTCGTTTGCCGCCATTGATCGTTAACTTTTTCTGCACAAGAAAAAAAAACATTAGATTTTAATTAATCCATAATCTCCAAGTAGTCAAGTACTTGAGTACAACTGAGTCATCATTAATTGTTTGTTGCTCGGGTTCATTTATGTAGCGTTAATACAGAGCTAGCTCAGCTAGCTTTTCGTTCACTGTGTTTTTCAGAGAGGTTGTTTTTAGGATTGATGGTAACAGATCAACAAAATAATACACTTGACATAGGATCACATTTAGGTTTCATTAAGTGCAAGGACTTGTGAAGTATATAATAATTACGTTGCTGTTCAAAACAGTACAAAAAATTTGTAGTGGCGGGAAAAGTGGCTAAAGTGTCAGGGGCCTCGGGTAACAACGCCGTGATGGTGAAGCTACCCAGGAGGTTCAGCGTCGGTGATCGGGTCTTTGCTAAGGTCCGGGGATATCCACCCTGGCCGGCTAGGGTGAGTTTGTTTGATTTTCGACCACTGGTTTGTCTTTTTACGTATAGTTTCGTCCATACAGAATGACGTTTGTCTCAATTTTTTTTGGAAAATCTTCAGTATACGAGGTTAAGTTGCAGTTTTAGGTGCGTTTTCAGAAAGATGCTGCGAACCAGCAGCAAACGTCACGTGTGAGACACTTGTGTATATTTGCTTGATCGCAACTCTAGACGCTGGTTTTGGCGTCCTATGAAAATGCACTTTAATCTTTCGCGCATGTATAGTGGGTTATGTGGGTTGTTACAATTGATTATAACAGGTACTTTCATATGTGCATTAATTATTTAAGTATCTATATCCGTTTGCATATTTAAAATGCCGTACCTATACCTCCAATTTGCAGGGCTTCTCAGGTCATTATAGTTAGTGATAGTACAATTGTGGGTTGTTTTTAGCACGGAATTGAGTGGTCTTGGCTTCGAATTTTAAGTTATTGTGCACACAGCGATAAGCCAATCCACGCATTCATGTTAAATACAAATGTATATGCTACATTTTAATTTTACAAATTTTATAATTTCAGATAGAGAGTGTTTCGGAGCCAAATACAAAAGCTCCAAAGTATAACGTAATTTTCTACGGTACTAGGGAAACGTAAGTTTTTTTTTTTTTTTCTTTAAAATACTGGGCAGTATTTTCTTAATTTTGGAATAATTGACAAAAACTATTGAATAATCTCATTTTCAGAGGAGTCTGTAAATTTGAAGATTTATTTCACTATTTGGAAAATAAAGAAAAATTCAGTAAAGCGCAGAAAAGAAAACTCTTTCGGGATGGTCTGCTAGAGTTGGAAGAGGACTTGAAAAACAATCCAGGTCCAGTTACTGAAGCTGCCGACAGAGGTAGGATATTCGTAAAAGAAAAAAAATTTGTGTATAAGTCTGATGTCGCTACGCGGAATGCGAAAGATACAGTACCAACAGAAATGACTCCCCTGCAAGATTCTCTCGCTTTCATTGTTAAAAAATAAATCATCCCTGTAAGCATCGATGGAAGAATTTCTGATCACGTATGCATGGGAAATTTGTGACTAGGAGCTCTTTTGTGTATCGTTTCGCGTACGCGGCATCGTCGGTATGCACAGTCTTAAAAAAAAAATAGTGCCAGAGCATGACTGATATTATCAAATTCTACTTCAGAAGTCACTGAAAATGTACCTGAGTATGTCGAAAAAAGGAATTCTGCTGTGTCATCCCCAGCGGATAATGACGAAGAAAGTGGAAACCTGGTCATTGACGAAGGCGATAAGAAAAAAGGTGTCAAAAGAAAATTATCCCAAGTAGTCAACACCCCAGTAAGTTGCATCATCTTACTAATTACTTTCTACATGGAACTTTACATTCATTCAATGCAACATATTTGAAATTCATGTGTTGCTTTGATAGTTCCAAATATTAAACTGGGAGCTGCCGACAGGTCACGTTCTAGCTTATCTGGCTTGTGCGATTGGTCCTTACATTGAAATATAATTAAATGACATTTTAAAAGAAACCATAATCACGATATATTATTGCTAATGATATACGTGTTTTTTTTTTTTTTTTTAAAGGATGTCCCTGAAGTTAAAAAGAAGCGAGGACGAAAAAGTGTAACAGCAATTTTGGCTGAAAGCACACCAAAACAGGATTCAGCCCAAGATTCACAAGATGAAGACTCAGAAAGAAAGGTAGTCAGCCGTAGTGGCCGAAAGATAAAACCCAAAAGATTTCATGATTACGCTGATGTCGAGACTTCGATTGATGCAACAAGAATTGGTATGTGCTTAAAAAAAAATAATAATTACTTGGTTTTCTATATATTTGATAATAAATAAATAATAATACGTTTTAAAGAATATAAGTCAGCCGTTTCGTAATTAAAATAAATTGTTTAATAATTATCATGTTGACAAGTATCACAAAATGTCGGTATTAAAAAAAAAATTGATAAATAGATTAAAAACTAGAAGTGATTTTTCCCTTACGATATGTATATCAGATCAACCTACACGAAATAGAACCAAAAGCAAAAGTGAAGATACTAACGAGAATCAAGAATCCTCAGTTGCACTTGTCAAAAAAAGGATAAGTGCTGAAAGTAAGTTGAAGTAACTTGCACTAGCACCAAGCCTAGCATAAAATTAAACATTTTTTTTTTACTAATAATTGTTTATTATTGCTTATACATTAAAATAGTTTTTTTCTCTTTTGACCTACACATTGCTTGTGAGTCTTTTAATACTTTTTAAGCATTAGTAGAATGTTTTTGGCACATTATGCTTTTTCTGAACACGTAACAATAACATTTCATAATCTTTTTGGTTCAAATAAATAAGAACCTAAAACTTCTACTCGAAATATCTTTAGCAAAAGTTATTTCAAAACACACACACTAATCAAAATGTAGTTCTGGTAAACAGTAAAAAATTGGCATCAGACTGAATTCAGCTAAACACAATCTGAATATTTTTTTGATTTAAATACCATCTTACTTTTCAGATGATGAAAAAAAAGGGTCAGTACAAGTTGCTGTAGTAACACCCGAAGTCCAACAACCGGTTAGATCAGCCAAAGATGATGCGGTGGACAAAGAGAATGCACTCAAAGTAAAGTAAGATGATTCAACTTTGTTGTAATAAAAGGAAATTTTAGAAATGTCGCACTTATTCATTTTACTTTTAATACACACAGAACGTTGCGAATCGAATCACAGATAATTTTTTTGGATACACAAATAAGATCTAGTCTCGGATTAGATCAAGCAAATGCTGATGAATGTTTGGAAGCCATGGATCAGCTGATGGATCTTCAGATTAACCAATTGATTTTAAAAAAACACTCACATATCATTGAAACAATTAAAAGAGTAAGAAAATAAAAGTATTTTAATTTTAAAAAGTAAACTTGTATTCACAATTTCTCTTTAATTTTTAGCTTAGGCGATATGTTGGGAATCTTAATGACTGGAAACTTACCGAACAAGAAACGGTAAGAGTTTTTATTTTTGATTGTCGTCGAAATGTGTGAGTATAGCAAAGCATCTATGAGAATTATTTCTGTTTGTAGATCGTTTTTAAACAGAAAGCTGATCTAATAAAGAAAAAAGCTGAACTTATCTATGAAAAGTTTAAGGTAACTTACCACTAACTTTATTTAGACTTTAAAACTATTTATTAATTTCAAACCAATTCGAGTTGCGACATTATAAAACATTTTTTTTAGAAACAATTCACTATTCCTGAAGGCAAAACGTTTTGGGAGGCTTTTGTCGCAGAGTTGGATGTATTTAAAAAGCATACCCAACATTTGACTCACGAAGAATTTTATTCTCTTTTGGTTGACCCTACCCGTGAGTACTCATACCAATTAAAAGATTTAAAAACTATCTTAATGTTATTTTTAAATAATATTTTCTTTTTAGTAACTCCTAAATCTACCAAGGATACTACAACAGTCGATGCTGCACTTCTTTCGATTCTTGCTTCAGATGAACCTGTAGCATCGACATCAAATCAAGATCTCTCGATGATTGAGACTGAGGCCAAGTAACATTCGTGAAAAATTATTACTTTCATGTTAGACACCTTTTTTATAAGTTTCAAGCTTTACTTAAATATGATAATTGATCTTAAAATAGGTCGAAACTTAAAACCACATAATTATTTCATGAATATTATCAAGTAATTGGTTATTTTTGAAATCATTTGAAGTATATTATCCTCTATTTTAAGATCGATGTTATAATAAAGGTGAATTAATATTTTTTTTATGAACACACGTAATACTACAAAAACTTATTTTTCTTAAAATAAGTAAGAGATGTTGTAAAATACTAGAATACCTTGATTTAAGTTAAAAATTAACTCAAAGAAATTTAGTTTTATTTGCAATTTTTTTTTCGTTTTGTGTCATTATGCAGACTGGGAAGATAAACGTTATAATCGTATATTTTGCTGTCTTATCTTGTATGTCCGACTTGTCAGTAAGTCATGTCCATAGGCTCAGTGCCTTGTCTACCTTAGTTAAGATTTTTTTTTTCTCATATACATGTTTTTAAACTAATCATCACGAAGTATTAAAGTGAATTTTTAAAACCCTGCATGATACGATAATTTACCCTCACATAAATTGTCATCGTTACAATTTCTGAAAAAAATGTTGAAAATTGCGAATCAAATATTTCTAATTTTTAATTTAAATTTAAATATACCATTATACTTACTATTTATAAGAGAAAAATCTTTCTTTTTTATAATGAACCTTATAACTCAGTGCTAGTTTATGAGTGAAGAACAGGGGTGTATTTTATGACATGTCATCCTTTTGAATATGTATCCCTGGCCAAGGATACTTTGAACAGCTTAACTAACATATGAGTCAGAGTCATATGGTTTTTGCCTAAATTAATATTACTTGTTCATAAAAAATTACTCGTAGTTTGCGGTAACTAATGATACGAACAAATATTTTTCGTAAAAGTTAAGTGACGTGTTAAAAATGTATTCAATTTTCGTAGCTTAATGATGATTTTATTCAAATCTATGTTTGTTCAACAAAAATTTGGTATACATTGCATACCTCTTTCAAAAAACCAATCTAAGAGCATTTTTATTTTATTACAATACAAATTTTTTGGTTTCATCTAAGGGTAAAAAACAACAAAAGAGTTTTGCTTCTGGGTAAGCCAAAGAGATAATGTTAACAAACAAGTATATTGGTGAATTTATTCATAATTATGAATATATTTATAATAAACTGATGGTTGGGTAAAATGCTATTATCTATCTTACTTTCAACTGTTTATTTGTATTATAGTGTGGATGCGAACAAATTTATATATGTTATATCTTAAAACCTTCAGAATTATGATACCTCTAAACATTCATTTGTAATACTTTGTCTTACAAATGGCACCCTAAATGATGTAAATTAATTTATAATATAAGAAAGTGATTATTTTGCACATTCTCATAGATGAATAAAAATAACCATGTGTATTCGTCAAAAACTTGAGTTATCTTGTAGATTGGTGTTATAATTAATTAGACAACGACAAAAGTATCCATACCATGAAATTTAAATTAGATTATTTGACAAATGAGCAAGTGTAATCTTGAAGTTGACATCATTCACCAAAATTAATTCATTACGAATCATTGAAAAAATCATACAAAGGCATTCATTTGTACATTAGTCATTAAGTTTACCAATATTATTATTATTGTGATTTATCTTTTTTTGCTGAGCCAAGGCATCTCAATTTCTATAGAGTAAATATAAAGAGTTTTAATAAAACTGTTGAGATATTCGAAAATTTTTGATAAAATATGACAAAAAAGACAACACAATAATAATTTAGGGTAATAAGATTGTGATGATTTGTGTATTGTGCTATTTAGGATAAGTCTGTAAGGAGAATATTTTTAATAAACTGTTAAGGTCAGTTTATTTTCATAGTTTGCTTCATTAATACCAAGGTACTAAATTTTATTTACGTAATTTGTTTTTTGAGCCATCAAAGCCTCTTGAGTTATATCTATTGTTTATTATTTTAGTCAAGACAAACGTTTTTGAGATAAAGACTTTTAATTTGTTGCAAAATCCACATAATGTTTACAAACAAAACCACAACAGACAGAAGGAGCAATTTTTTTATAGTGATTATATCCATAATTTTCCTGAAAATCACCATTTTATTATTTTATTACTTTCTGCCCTTTTTCTTTTTTTTCTGTGCATCAGGCCAGGGAAAGCCTCGACAGTACAAGACGTCCATGATGTTGTGGCACGTATAGTAGGCGTTCTCCATTGCTTCCTCGCTAAAGACGTCCATTGGAAATCCACTTTTGTTGGCACTGCGTCTCGAGCTACGAGACTTTTTCGCGGCTTTGCCGTTGCCGTTTTTTCCGTTCTTTTTCGTCCCAGCTTTTTTCTTTCCCTTGTCCGGCATCTCGTGTAATTATTCTGTTATCATACAAAATCATTGTAACTAACAAAATAATCTCGAGGACAACTTTTTAATTTTTTTTTAAACAGCATAAACTAAAATATTATTTGAAAATGTTCCAAAAGTTCGCGCCAAAATTATTTAGTTACTAAAACCAAACTATAACGCGCTAGTGTCGTTTGTTATTTATCATAAATGTGTTTGAAAGCATAGACATAACAAGTAAGTATAGACTGCTCGTTCTTATGTATACGGCGCTGAAGCACAAGTATTCGCTCCGAGCCGATACAGAGGTTGCGCCCCCTCTAGCCAAAATCAGGCAACATTTCTTGCATGTAAACAAACGGTTTAGAACATATATACGTACGTACAGCTGCTTGTGAATCACAAGAAATGTTGCCTGATTTTGGCTAGAGGGGGCGCAACCTCTGCATCGGCTCGGAGTGAATAGAAGGGACACAACATATATCGAACATGGGTATCTGTCTCTCTCGCACTTCAACGCCGTGCGTAAGAACGGCAGTCTATACTTGTTATGTCTATGGCTTACACCCATTGTTTTAGCTTTGCATTTGTTTGTGAGAAAGCTGTTGCGGTGTGTGTATATGTGTTGTCAGTGTGATTCTTTTAAAAAAGTGACAAGCGGCGAGTAGAACAGGTTTTTTTTTTAAATTCCTAACCTTATATCCACGTAATTACGTGGATTTGGTGCGAATAGACACAGCGTTTCCTCGAAGATGTCAAGTGAATCTGATTCAGAATACAACACATCTGATGAGGAAGTAAGGCTTTATATGCAAAAATATCACATTAAAATTATGGTGTATTCTAACCTTGAATTGTCACGTGTGTTATTTTCAGTTGCGGGAGGCGCTCGCAAAAGGTCTACTGAAGCCGGGTTTAAATGTTGTTGTCGAGCAAAAAAAGTTTAAGAACAATGTGGTAAGAAATATTTTCCATTTAAGTAATTACTTATACTGTTGGTGTAACGGTTTTTATCTGGACCAACTGTTGCAATGCAATGTCTTGGTGTTTTATTTTTCAGCGTGGCTTGAATGAAAAGTTGAAGGAAATTCGTTCGGAACTACCATGGATCGAGAAATTAATGCTCATCAACCCCCCAGCACCCTTGGCTCCAGAACTGGCTCTTCAAATGAAGCATCAAGAAGATCGTCGTGCAAAGCAACTGAAGGGAAACAAAAAACTGCCACAATACAATCCTATGGACGATCCAGTCTTGAACGACTTCAAAAGAGAAACAATGTTTCACAGGCAAGCGCAGAGTGCAGTCGTTGAAGGACTTGCCAGATTGAAAGCAATGAAAATTCTGACAAAGCGACCTGACGACTACTTTGCAGAAATGGCCAAGACTGATTCACACATGCAGAAGATTAAACAGCATTTGGTAAAGAAAAAGGCCGAAGCTCAGAGGTCGGAAAAAGTCAGGCAGTTGAGACAGCAGCGCAAGATTTCCAAGCAGATGCAGGTTGAAGCTACTCTGAAGAAACATGCTGAAAAGAGGAAACTTTTGGAAGAAGTGAAAAAGTATCGTAAAGGTGTAAGGCCTGATCTTGATTTCTTGGATGATAAGAAAAAACCAGTTCCCAAGGCTAAGGATGGGAAATATTTGAACAAGAAAGGAGTGGAGAGGAGACAGAGGAAAGACGCCAAGTTTGGTTTTGGAGGAAAGAAGCGTGGTATGAAAAAGAACACCAGAACTAGTTCAGCTGATGTTTCTGAATACAAGAGGCCAAAACTACCAGGTAAAGGAGGAAAGATGGGCAATAGTAGTAGGCAAGGAAACAAGGGAAAATCGCGACCTGGAAAAAGTCGGCGAGTACTAATGAAAGCTAAGAGAAAGTGAATTTGAAAATATTCACCTATGTGTACCAGCATTATCTCCATCCAGTGGCAATTTGATCATCCGTTAAGTGGTGATAAGCACAGCCAATTGTGCAGGATGACACAAGAAAATAGTAGTTCTTAGTTGATTAAATTATTGTTTTTGTTGGTGATTACGAGACAATATGATGAAAATGTAAGATTTTGATGACCAGACCGCCACTTGGTGGCACTAATGTTGGATGCACATAGGCAAATTAGGATGATGTGAATTGTGAGAATGCACTGATGAATGATGTGAATAATGTTTTCATTAATAAATTGTTATTCCTAAATATGTTTTTTATTATTTTTCCTGGACAGAAGAACATTTCTATTTAAAGAGTAATCATGCAAGTGATTTGTTTACACTCAAATATGTGAAAAATTTAAACATCAAATATTTATGAAGCAAGTAAATATTAACATCTTACTTTTAGTTACACGAAAATCTATTATAAACACCCGAATTTTTTCTTTTATTTAAAGCAAATTTCCGAATCGTGAATTGAACTTTTGTTTGAGAATAGCTTGACTCAAAAGTAAGTGAAAGTCAAAGTTAATAATTGCCTAAAAACAAAGAATCTGTATGAATATCTGAAAACCTATTGCACAATTACCGGTTACTTTTGTTTTAAAACAGTTTTTTTCCTTAAATTTACACAAATTAGCTCGCGAGATCGAAAACAGTTTAGGCAGCCAGCGTCGCAGTAGGTTTGTTGAATCGATAAATTACGCTTTCTCGCGGAATAGTAGCTAATGCGTCTTGCAAACTATACTGGAGAATTGACTGACCTACAAAGTATAAAATAATCAACGACAGTATCGATCGCGTTCTTGTGTTACACATAAAATTAAAATCTAAAAAAATTACACCTTAGAAAATTAAGTAAGTACATTCACTTTATAAGTAAATTTTTAAAATAATTTTATGCATAATTAAATAATCCAAGTGCAAGGCAATTGCTGGTTCAACAAAAAGTTATTTCTTTCAAACACATCAATAAATTCATTTTCAAAAATAAATGATACACAATTGTATGAAATACATATCTCGAAATTTAATAATAATATTTGTATCGCATTCGTTCGATCTTTAAATTTACGTAAATAGAGAAAATGTAATACAAATATTTTTTAAGGCTACTTGAATCTCGGCTGATTGCTTTTTGTTCCGTACAAATGACATTTATATTTCACCCACTACGAATTATTTGCTTTCAAAAGCATCCCAAAGTATACAACAGACACTTACGAACTCGATCTCGTAATTTTTTTTTCCATCCAAAAAGTTCTTTCACTCGTAACTATAGTTTTACGAGTTATACGAATTTACATTTTGTACAAGTCAGACTATGATTGTATAGTCCCACTGTATGTTGATTGTTGACTCAGAGAAGATGAATAATTTGTAGAATGATTTAATAATTTAAAGCGCTTAGCTCCACTTGCAAGATTTACACGTTATTTTTTTACTGTCCGTAGTTCAGCTTATAAAAACGTTACTAAAACTCATATCGATTTGTGTATTACGAGTGTAAGGTTTCTCTTTTAATAATAAAATCTGTAGAACAATAATATGACCTACTAAACAAAAGAAGTTGACTATTGAAATATTGCATGAAAAAAAGAAAAAAATTAGATTCTTTTTATTATGTATTAAACCCTTTTGCGTTTTCACCGCTATGGCTATAAATTTCTTAGCTGAGAAATAAGTATACGCACGAGTTCACTCTTAATTATAAAAAAGAGCGGCCCAATAAGTGTGCCATTTCATCATCCATTGGCCTAATATTATACTTATAACTTATAGATAATGCTGAGCTTAATTCCATCCTGTGCAGTGTAAAATTTTTGCTAATATTTCACGTAAGGCACGTCAAGAAAGTTATCAGTGATTAGAGATACACATAATTATTTCATGGCTTAAATACGAGAAAATGAATGTATTATTGAGCTACTTAGTGTATTGAACAAGACGATAGAATTTTGCCTGTCATACTTATATATGTTAGCATTACATGTATATGTATAGTGCGAATTTATTGCTTCATTTTACATTTTTTCTTTTTCCTTTATTTCGTCGGATTTTTATGCAAACGCACAAAAGGAGATAACGATTTTGTATCGTTTGTCACTAGTGGACGTTTCAATAAGTATCTACATACCTGTTTATCAGTGTGTCCAATAATTTAATGATTTGAATAAATTTAGGTCCATAGGCTATTTTAAGCAAAAAATGTTGATTATAAAGTTTTCACAAAATGCTGTGGTGTCATTTTGCACTCCTCATAAAAAACTACAGTTTTAATTACTATCCATCTGTATATGATACATCCTGTACCTTATATTATTGGGTGTTACCCAAACTTTTACTGTTATACGACAATCAAATTATAAAATTATGTTGGTGTACATCTGTGACAAGTTAAGTATATGTTATTGACAAGTGAGTATTAAACTAAGTAATTCATTTATTTAGTCCCTATATATTATATTTTCTTATGATAGAATGCATATAGATATAGGTATAAAAATGACGTGATTCGTCATCGTAACATATATGTATACCAGCTCACAAGCGACAGCGACGAATAAGCGACGTCATCCGCATACCACGCATATGTATATATGCATTAAACGTATGTTAGTAGTTAGTAATGGGAGGCTCCTTCGGAAAGTTCTAATTTCAGTCGAGCGACGAGCGTCCGTGTGCGAGCAAGTCGTTCTGCTAATTTATTTGTTGATATAGACACACATACGTCTCGCGTGCGTTATGGAGTAAATGGAATAAGTCAAAACTAGCACCTTCGTTGAATTAATTTTTTTAATAAATAAAACGTTTTTCCATTTGACGTTAGGTACGTTTTAAACAACAACATTGAAGAAAAGCCAGTGCGCGTATTAAAGAGAGCGGCCCCTAACCTCAATCGTGCGTCTGCTGTACTGGCGGTCTTAATTTGCTCTGTTTGCATGGAAATCTCATACTTACTTTTTCTATTTTTATTGCTCGCAAAAGTAACAGTAATATCCTTACTGAGAGTATAACATGCGTTTCGGGCTTATCTCTCTCGTCGTCGATTTTTCATTCATCAAATCTTAAATTTCGGAGTCGGAGAGCAGAAAGGAGTCGACAGCGCGCGCACATTGCAGAGGAAAGTCCAGCGAGACAAAACTCCTGATCGAGTCCTTCCGCGCCCTTGGTGACATTGTTTGTGAGGGCGAAGTAAAAGAAAGTTTAAAAGGTTCCACACACACCTCGACAACACCCCAAGAAAGTGTCTGCTGTTGTTTTATTTGTAAATCTGATGTTATTTATGGAGGGTCAGCGTGCAAAGACAGTGATCACTGACAAGCAGAGAGGTATCAGTCGAATCAAAGGGAAATCCCAAAAGTACTGATGTGAGGGGAGAGGCGAAACAATATTTTGCACTCTACGTATAAGTAGTTTTTTTTTTCCCCTACAATACGAAGCCTTAGTTGTGCTGCCGTTGTGAACAACGTCAGAGGAAAAATATAATAAATTAATACAAGTAACACGAAGCGGGAGGATTTGCGAGCACAATGTCGACGGCACTGCTGGCACTGTTCGCAGTCATCCTCTGCATCCTCTTCCGGATCCTGAACGTCAATAGCGCGCCCCAAAAGCCGACTCTCATCTGCAAAGATGAGGCATTTCTCTCTGCCATCCTCAAAATCACGCCCGTCATATCTGAACCGTGAGTATACTTGCCTGTAATAAGTACCCACATGTTTGCTGCTCCCTTTTTTTTTTTTATTTATTTTTTGTACAGGTGTTTTATATACCATAACATCGCAAGATTTTCTGTTATTTTTACCCATCTACTTGCAAATTTAGGGTCTTTGGTCGGATGAATTCAAGGTGTCATTATTTAAGAAAGCTAGATATTTATATACTTGACATGTCTTATAAGCGAGTACACGCCTTTTCTCTCTAATGTATCTTGCGTGTCTACAAATTTTTTCTCCAATTCGCTGGCAAAAATTTGAGGCTATCGTTACACAAACGCCGCTGTTGGTGTATCATTTGCAGAAGCGTTGCTTCATGTTATTTTAACGATTGAAGAAGAAAAAAATTTGGAGCTGTAGGATTACAGGTTACAGGTAATTTCAGTGAGTAAAACTCGCCGGGTACTGCTGATACACCGAATCAATATTTGCGTAAGGGATATTATTATCTCTTCGTTTTCCAAGAAAGTTTCGTGATTTCTGTTTTCAATGCTGAAAATTTTAATCTTTCTGTATCGAGGCCTTAGATTTTGGTACGACGTTTATAAACGATTGTTTGGTTCCTTTCTTTTTTTAATTTTTTTTATTTTTATACATCCTACTCATTAGAGAATATAACAAAATACAACATATTTGTTGATTAAATCATGAAAAATATAATTGATGAGATTTAAATGAAAAAAAAAAAAAAAAATTAAAAAAGTTATCACGAATGTCGATGCAACGTATAAAAACGTACATGTTTTTAAACGACCTCGTCATCAGTTTTCTCTAAATATGTAAGTAGAAAGAAACCATTCATAGTATAAAGATTGTGCTCTTATTTTTACGCCCATGCCTTTATTATCCATTAATCTTTTCACACATTTCAATTCACAAGATGAGTGAGAAGAAAAAATTGTTGTGGGTATACTTGTGAAACAGTTTTAACTCATGGCTTGTAATCGTATGTAAAAATGTTTTTAGTCACTTCTGTACCCATTTAAAACGTATATTTATCTTTTAGTTAATTCTGCAAGCACAGGAAGTTATAGGTATATACATAAAAACGATCAACAACAAAATTCTCAGTCTCGAATAAACAGATAAACAGGCAACGAAAGTTCGATCGGAACTGTTTCAATAGAGAAGCGACGATTTGTTTGAATAATTAATGATACAACACAGTGTGCGTGGCAAACAAGTCCGATTGTTCTGGCAAAATGTGTTGGGAAGATTATTCGTTAAAATAAAACTCTCTGGTATCGCGACGATCGATGAGTTATGTGGTTCTTGTCGCACACGCATTGTAATATTAATGAGCACGTGTAATAAATAATATTAATGTCGAGAGAGCGCGTGTCAATCAACTCGAGAAAGAGATACTTGATCAATAATTCAACGACACTCAATGATTTTCCGTTCTCAATTCGTGTGGCAATCGACTTTGGTTGTTTTTTCGTGACACAAAGTTAACAAGCTGCATCAAATCGATTTCTAAGTTTATTAAGTAGAGAGACAACGAAAACAATGTTTCATTTTTCGTATGTATAATACGCGCCCCCACGTACTCGTAAAGTTTGTCTCAAGAATTTTTTGCCGTTCTTTGTGTAACGAGCAGGTGTACCAAAAATTCCTTTTACTACCCACGAAAAGGTCTATTTGTTCATCTCAAAAATGGCACTAGTTTGTTGATTCATCTCGAAAAGTCGAGTAGCCAAACTCCTTAAGTACCGGTTGGTTGAATCGTTATGTACCTTACAAGTACGCTTTCGAGCAAAAATTACACCCGAACGATGGACAATAAAATTCAGCTCTGCACAGCACGTCACGTCCGCATAATCGATGCATATTAGCATAATATACGACTGGCGTTACATAAAAATTTGCGAAAGTGGATGCATCATAGACCTTTACAAAGAATAAAAATAATAAAAGTATAAAACACAATCTCTCACGAATGCATGATTCAACCGAAATTTAATCGTCAGGTGGTACATACACTTGTGTGCGCTATATAGGTAATTATCGGCGCGTGAGTACATCTTATCGCAACAACATTACCGATGACTTCGCGATAGACGAGAGTCAATACCATATAGAATATGCAGTAAGACAAAAGTGTAAGCTTTTTTTCTTCATCAAATGTAAGAAGAAAAACGAAAGAATTCGTCGACTGTACACCCGGTACTTATCTCTGTTTGAAATCGGGCAACCTTGAAGATTGTGTTGTGCACGATGGCGGAGCGAGTTGAGCGATCGATGCGCGCTTGCATGCACATGTACAGTGAGGGTAGCAGTGCACTCTAAGGTACTTACCACAGAGTGTTATGGGCGCTGCTGGAAAATTCGCGGGTGGCGGCACTTGAGCACGCAAATGGCCCGTCATAACTTGTTTTTTTATCTTCTTCTCCCTGTTTTGTTTTTTTCGAAAAAAGAGAGCCAAAAAAAGATACAGAGGGAACATACATTTACCGCCTTTTCCCTCCGCCCTCCTCTCTTTTTTTTTCGTCTACGACCTATGTGTGTGTACATAAAATTCACGTGTATGAAAAATACCATGTACCTGATTGACGCTGAAAGCTCGTCAGAAAAGAGCGATAAGTTGCATAACTTTCGAGTCTGGAAAGTTTTTAACGCCCTCTGCTCCAGACAAACATTGAAAAAAAAAAAGAATTCTTTACCAGAGTCCCTCTTTATCTTTTTTCTCTTCGATATTTTACTTAGTTTTAATAATAACAGAGATCGAGGCGGGATTTTTCGGTAAAAAATTTCTGCCGTCTACTTTTTGTTCTTAGAGTAAGAAATGTATTTGTAGTTGATACTGCAGCGGTACCAACGACAGCTTTATCGCAATTTCTGTGGTTGAGATACCAAACTGCCAAGCTTTGAGACACAACATAAAATTAACCTACAATCATCAGAATTGGCAACATATAATTATAGAAGAATCGGAATATTAAAAAAAAAAAAAAAAAAAAAAAAAGATGTAGGTATACGTTTTTAGAGAAGACAAACAAATAAGTAACGCTATTTTTTTTTGTAATGCGTACAAGAACCTCCTTATTTTTTGCTCGCTCTTCGAATGATGTCACCTCTCCAGCTGCTTCCGACCGGTTTAAAAAAATTTTAATTTGCCACGGATAGGTGGACATAGTGTATAGGCATGTTTTGTACAGACAACTAGGCCATGACGCGTGTGAGTAACACATTTTCCTCAAAACGGTCGGTCCGTAAGTTTTACAAAATTATTCATGACCCACCCGTGGCGGGCTCTCTTTTTTGCTACATTGGAGCCAAGTGTCGTTGACTTACCCACGTGGCTCGGGGCAATTTGCCTCCATTCTTTGCACATCATTATAACAAGCGATGACTACTTACCGTTGCTATTCACCTCACAAATGCATAAAAAAAAGAAGCCAAGAAATTTGCTCGCATCGAGTTCGTTAAGTACGCAATTCGTATCGACGATTGACAATTTTACATATTTTTTTTTGCAATTGAAATGAGCGCGTTGAAACGATTGATTTTCAAATTGAACCTTAAAATAGTACATTTCGCACGCGAATGTGTAAAAGAGAGTCTACTGATTGAAATTGTGCTTGTACGAGTTGGCGATACACGGAGATAATTTCTTGCCGTGAACTCTGACAGCTGTACATAAAAGTAGTCCCTCTTTTAACAGATAATCGTTACTTTTTTCACTTCAGATGCTGATACACAAATATACACTTTTACTTACTTCCATAATCACGCGGTTTAGACCTTTGTACTGCGATATACTCACTTTTGTTGAAACACGATCTTTTGTAGATGTTTTTCGTTTTGTTATATTACTTTAATAATCAACTGAAAAATATTTGATACGATTCCGATAACCTCAGCGGGAAGAGCAAAATAAATGGGTAGTGACTCATCGATTGTTAATGTAGATAATAGCGATACTTTTATACATTTTATTTGTTTTTCTGCGTATAAGTACTCTGGTATGTTGTTAACAATTTATCTTTAACAAATTTCATTTAAAAAAACATTCTTCATTTTTAAAATTAATGTGTGAGTAGGTTTCAGTAACCAAAAGCCACACGTGTACATTTTCGATTTTTCTTGTAAAAAAACTTTAGACCCATTAAAGTTATATTTTTGCAAATATCCATGACTGCACACTCACAGAAATTGCTCGACTATTTTCTTGTGATTTGTGCTGAGTTAAAATTAAGAAAAAAAAAAAATGCAAGTTTTTAAATTTTCAACACAAATCATGTAATAAAATCCAAATCAGTTGCATTTTATCTAACATCGCATATACATATACAACTATTTTACATACTTACCGCGAAGTCTCTACATAAACGATGTATTATCTCCTCCCCGTTGAATTTTGATATCTTTTAAGCTAATACATCATTCGATACAAGGCACGTACTTTGATTAAATTAATGTTTCTGTTCGAAGAAATCGTATGGACGCATGTGGCCATACATATCCGTTTACATTAAAAGACGCGCCCTAATTACGTACTGTCGTCATTTCTTTTCTTCCTCAATTCTTTGTAGTCGAGTTAAATTGATTTTTGTACGCCCACGTATGAGTAATCACTAATTACGTTAGCATGCGTAGAAATGTGTGAGTCATTTGAGCAACGATTTCGGTACCTCGGTCTATTGTATACTTTGAGAGAAAAAAATCGTACTTGAAGGGATGTGTAATTCTTGTATAAAATACATGCCTGCGGTGTACCGATTAATTCATTTTGGTGTTAAATTATTTGAAGGGCCTAGTAAGAGTACCATACTTTGATAAAAACGAGCTATTTTTTCTCTTTCACTCGAATAATCACTTGTTAAAAATGCCGGTTCGAAAAAATGGTTAATTATTATTTTTCCAGGAGACGAAATATAAAAAAATGCTTGGCTAAAAAAATTCAACCTCGTGCATTATTCATCCACAAAGCCAAACGATTAAACTCACCCACGCGCCCATACACTAT